TAAAACCAGAATTTCGTTGCTCTTCAATGACATCATCATTGACGTAAAGAAAGCGACAGACGATACCATGCAGCATCTCTACCAAACTATTCATCAACAAAATTGTAGTAGCACGACAAAATAGAAAAAACTTAAACACAGACAACATGGTCCTGAAAGTCTACGCCCAGCATACAGACAGCCTTCATCTTACTCATAGCGCATCCATTATCCACAAACGTCTACCAGCTTTCTGCGCGTGGCTTCAGATGTTGCTTGATGACATTCTTTCACCATGTATGTCGTTGAATGCTCATCGAGTCAATTTTCCTCCTTGGAGTCCTGAGATAGCCGGATTGGAGCATTCTCAATTCGATTGTAGAAAATGAATCTTTCCCAGAAAAGTCCGGTACCACTTTCCCGATACCGGAAGCATGAGAGGCTTGGTGAGCCAGGGATGGAACCAGCATTATGCTCGCGATGAACGGTATCACTGCAACATGCTACCCGCCACCTCCCATATATAAACTGTCATATAATATGATATACTGCAACACACTATGTACTAAATACTATAATATAATGTATAATATGTTATATTGATGCATATATCTAATATATACTTTACTACATCCTCCCAACGGCTCATCGTTCCTTCGTGGCTCGAAGGTGTTCCTGGGTTTTGGGCTGCGATGTACAGCGGGGGGATTCATTCCCTTAGCAGAGCCTCCCATGCTGAAGAGTCCGCCGTTTCCATCAAAAACCCCAGGTAAGAGTAAACCAATACCAGAATCCCCCACCGTCCTAGTACCATAAGTCGGATGGTGGCAAATCTCCCTATCATCCACAACGGTGGCGAATGCCTGTGGTGGTGACGACCTGGGGCAGATTTTGGCCTAGCTAACCTTGAGATCCCATGGAACCACAATGGCTAAAGCAGCAAAACTCTGAAAAATTGGAGATCATGCTGGGTCAGCACGACCTGTGAGAACGGGCCATCCAAGTATTCAAGTAAGTATATGCGTGTATAGTATAGTGTGACTTTTTTGTCTATTCACTTTTATGTTCATTTTATACTTTATTTTCATTCATGCTTATTTTACGCTCTTTTCACTGCACTGCAGCTGCAGTTATTTTGCAGATCACGGTCACATTCACCTGCTACCCCGCCGTATGCTCGAATAAAACCACTACCATAGACACCTACAATGCACGTACACTTGCATCCGAGTCGTCGGCAGAAGACTTGATCATGCAAGCGAGAAAGGTAAGATACGACGTCATCAGCCTAGCCGACACGAAACGACGCCACCCATTTAACACCGTCTATGATACCGGAAAAGAACTGCTCCTCGGAACATGCGACAGAAAAGGAGTCGGCGGCGTCGACGTTCTCGTCAACACGAGTTTGTCTATGAACATCGATTCATTCGAACAACTTACAACCCGAATCGGACGTTTACGATTAAAAAGATATGGATCAATACCGGTTTTGACAATCTTTGTCGTTAATGCCTCGACAACAAACTATGACGAAGAAGAAGTCGAAGCGTTCTATATGGACTTGGAGAAGCACTACAGAGAAGACCATACATTCTTTAAGGTCATCATTGGAGATCTTAACGCCTAGACTGGACGAAGAAGAACGTTGGGACCCACGGATTAGAATGGAACCAACATGGTGAGCGGCTCTCTGAGTTTATCATGAGGGACAAAACCATCCATGTTCGCCATTCCAGAAGCTCCACACTCAGCACTGGACGTAAGAGTCTCCCAGTGGAGAGTACCATAACGAGTTAGACAACATCATAGTAAATAGAAGGTTCTGCCCAACCGATATCGCCGTTGTCCCAAAATTTTACACACGATTAGACCATTGCCTCCTTCGTGCAAGAATCGGTTTCTCGTAGAAAAGGGAAAAAGCCGCCAAATTCAAAAGACGAAGTCCTAAAACCACTGTAAACTGGGACTTATTCAACTCACTAGTTGGCCGTTGGGAAGATACCGTTGTCGATAACATTGACGACGAATACGATCGGCTCATTCAACATCTTCACGTTAGCGCGATGATAGCTCAGAGTTCGAAAGTCAACAAGAGACGTATGTCTCATGAAACACTCGAGCTGATTCGCCAACTTGAAACCACATGAGATGCAGGCAGCTGCGAACTAACGTCCGAACATGCAAAACAGTGTAAACAGGCAATAAAAGAAGATTTTAAAGAGAGAAGTGCAGCAGTAATAGTCGAATCTGCAGAGGACGGGAAAAGCATTCGCAAAGCCCATCGAAACTTCGCCAATTACAAGATCAAGATGATTGCACTCCATCGTCCACACGGAACAGTTACAACCTCCAGAAAGGTTATGGAGGAAATCATTCACGAATACTACTCGGATCTCTTCGATCACCACGTCCACCTTCCGTCATATGAAATAAAGGAGGATGGATATGTTGTGCCACCGGTTCTCCCTCCCGAAATCCGACATGCCATTTTGTCGGTGAAAAAACGAACAGCTCCAGGTCCGGACAGGACAAGATCTGAACACCTGAAGAACCTTCCGCCAGTTTTCATAAACACACTGGCTCGGCTCTTGATACGTTACCTATCTGAATGCGAGAAAACGACTCATTAGAAGACCAGCAAGACCGTGCTAATATTCAAGAAAGGTGAACTCCACGATATCGGCCACCATCGCCCAATCTGCTTGCTGTCTGCCGTCTACAAACTCTTCACTTGAGTCATCAAAACGTGACTGACAGAACACTGGATGAAGGGCAGCCATGTGGGGAAGCAGAGTTTCGAAAAGGATTTAGTGCAATGTATTAGTGCAACCACATCCACACAATAACAACACACAATGAAGTATCGCGAGAGTACAAAAGACCGTCTGTCTCACTTTCATCGACTTACAGAAGGCCTTTGATTCAGTTGAGATGGAAGCAGTCTAGGAAGCCCTTGATAGTCAAGGAGTCCTTACTCAAAACATAAAGCTTCTTCGGGAGCTGTGCAAAAATTTTACAACCAAGACATCACCATTCTAGAACGATATTAACATCGACATCAGAACAGGAGTTAAGCAAAGCGATACCATCTTGTCAAAATTATTCATCACCACCCTCGAGAACGTCATGCGAACATTGGAATGGGACAACAAGGGAGTGAAAATCAATAGTCGACAATTACACCATCTTCGCTCTACTGATGACATCGTCCTTATAACACCAAACATTAGCCAAGCAGAACGAATGCTTACCGACTATGATAAAGCCTGTGGAAAGATTGGCCTTCGACTAAATCTCACAAAAACGATGCTCATGAGAAACGGACTGGTATCGTATGCGCATTCACGCTCAACAGAACGAATATCTCCGAATGCTCTAGGTTCGTCTACCTAGGTCGGGAAATTAATATGATGGATGACTCAGCGCCAGAGCTAAGCAGAAGGAAACGAGCGGCTTGGGGAGCTTTCACGAGGATCAAGGATGAAGTGAAGGAGACAAAGAACACCGAACTCCGTGCCCAGGTTTTTGATATAACGGTAGTTCCTACCTTAACGCATGCGTCAGAAACCTGGTTGTTTCGTAAAGAGGATGAAGAATCATTCAGCGTTATTGAACGCGCAGTCGAAAGGACGATGCTAGGAGTATCCCGTTTCACACAAGTAAGGGATTGGATCCGAAGCTCCGAGCTGCGTGAACGATCAAAAATCAAAGGTGCCATTCTGTACGGCAAACAGTCGAAGATAAGGTGGGCCGGACACGTAATACGTATGGACGACAACCGATGAACAAGAGCCGTCAGTAACTGGATTCCTCAGGATGTTTAACGTACTGCAGGAAGACCACCGACTCGATGGTCAGAGTTCTTCACGAAGAGCCTAAAAGAAGGATATGATGCTCAACGAGTCCTTAGAGCGAGCAAAACTCACTGGACAACTCTTGCACACAAGAGGGAAAATAGAAGATTTACTGGCATCCGCTCGAGTCACTAGACGATCAACGGGGTGATACACGTGATACTGATTTATGTGCATAGATATACATGTATATATGCACTTTTATATATATGTATCATTTTCGAGTGCACTACAAAGCTAATGTGAAGGAATAGGCACGGGATGCGATTCGAATGATGCGACAACGAAGAGCCACATCGAATGATTGAGCGCTGTGGATAATCGACTCGAATTAATCCGGCTCTAAACGGGGCAGAAGCGCCGAAACGTCAGCCGAATATAACTTTTGTAATAACCTGGGGTTACCTTAATAGTCTAGGAAAATACTGAGTAACCGTAGTATAAATTACATACCAAAAGGATAAAATTTGGTGTCCCAAACTACATCGATTGTACCATATACGTTAAGATGTCAAAAATCAGGTGTGCTCGCAACATTTTAAAATTAATCGTTTGACAATAATTACTATCGACTAAACCAGAAAAAAACATCAATGAGCTGAAGGTCGGACCTCTTCAAATGGATCGCTAACTAAAACGTGATGCGCTTTGTGTTACTCTGTCCCTTGAGCGGTCAAAATGGAACTCACCGATTATTCCAAGCGACCACGCCAATGCAATATTTAACGGCATCCAGAAGCACAACAATCAACGATAAGGATCAATATGAATAGCGTATGAATAAGTAAAGAATGGACTGAACAACAAACCTTATATATCTCATCAGCAAATTTGATACCACAATCAAAAATGCGACGAGTTATGCTTTGCAGGGAGGTATCCAGAATGAATTCCAAGTTACAAATGCTAATTAGCAGCTTCCTTGTAGTAAGCTAGAAATACAATAACTAGCACATTATTGTACCATCAGAAGCAATCTTATTAGAGAAACACTCACATGAGATTTTTCGTCATCTTTCCGGGATAGGTCTAAATTTAGGGGATTTTTTAAATCAGCACGTAGATGTAATAGTCTAAAAATAACACGCAATAAATAAAAACAGTATCGGCATAAATAAAAACGCATTTAAACTTACGAAACTATACAAACACTGTGTAATAGGCTCACCTATCAAGACAGTGTCTAATCGCAACAATCAAATGAACAAATATGTCGATCAAGGTGACACGAAACCGGTCACGTGAAAATAGACAAGCTTCACCTGGATAATTACACGTTGACAACGCATCCCTCATAGCAGATAGACAGTCGAATACCTATGATGGTGAGATCCCGAGAAAAGCCTTCTAGCATAGATGAGAAAGAAATGAAGAACAAAACGAGTTAAACACTCTTGGAAAGTATAACATTATCAACACATCGAAGTCAGCAGCTCGTTAAGAGAAACTAAACGAAGAAGCAAGCGACAAACGACACCTCATTTTCGTAAAAATCCGATAACGCTGTTTTCGCAATGGCATTAGAACTGAACTCTTGCTTCCAATTTTCTTTTGATCCCAGGGCACAAATGTCTGAAATTCCTAAGTTTAGTTTAGTTTCATGGATTAAACTTAAGACAACCTCAATAAAGGAGACAATGCGAACTGAATTTGTTTAAAGCTATTCAGCGGTTTCGTTTCCAATCTGACTGAAATTTAGGCGTCGTGGCTTTTCAGTATTGGAGGTGCTTGGCTGACTAGATTGCAATCAACTTCTCCTTTTCAGGCTCTAAAGGCGAAATTCTCCAAATTGTCAACTACTATTAATAACTGGTACCAAAACGGCATTCTCCGTAGTTATCACGAAGATATCAACTTATTAATCAACGGCAAGATTAACCGAAAGTCGGTTAAAGGAATGACAAGCACTTGTTCTGTGAACATAGACGTAAGTGCCAACAAATAGCCAGAGATGACTTTCCGCTCCGCAAATGATGAGCTCGGGGGAAACGTTAGAATGATATCAATGCTTTGTAGTAACATACATTGTTAAATATCTCCCCAAACACGCCAAGAAATGCTACACCAAGGAGATGAGTTGTATTTCAGCACGATATTAGCACTTTTTTTTTACTTTGAACCGCAACAGACTTGCCTTCACGAATTCGCCATTTGATTTGCTCTTTCTTTGTCTTTGCTCGGTGTATTTCTTGCTATATACGCAAAATTATAATGTTCGGATTCACGTAAATTTCGTATCCCATGAGTCGAAATGACTCGACCCATATGCCACCTTTATATACAACAAAACTGGTGTCACCGCGGAAATTACCTTCACTACTCATTCCCCCATGCCCTCATCAGCGAAGATTTGGTTACTACAATTCAGCACGAGTTAGAGAAACTTTCGTTTCAGGATCAAAGAAAAATAAAAACCAACAAAAGTGCTAACGCATTGGAGGGTGCAGATTACCAATTCCAACACCGAAGAAGACGAGCGCAAATATTTTGACATGGCTACTGATAAGCTAGAATGCAAGAATGGTAAATAAAATTAGGCTCAACATCTCGAATAATGCCGCAACCACATCTTAATCTAAAGCGAAGGAAAACGCTATCATAAGATCTATGCAAAAATGATTTTGTGATCCACAGGAAAAAACAATGACTCACTCTCTACTCCCTTGTCTATAACATCTGAAACGACTTTCAATCTTACAGTCATGCAAAGCTCTACCAGAGGTTGTACATGCGCACTAGTGAATTGTGCTTCTAGCAATGAGGATATAAACGACCTGAAAACACACTTCTTAACAGCAACAATATTGCGACGGAAAAGTGAAACAACACAAAACAAAATAAACTAGGTCACAGTATGATGCTTGTTTTTGATAACTGCCGATGATTTTTCGCTAACTATGGTATCGAGGAGTCGAGAACTTGACAGACTTATAGAAAAGACTTTAACCCAAATACTCTCGCCAGTATCACCTATCCCGCTGATAGTCGAGTGATTCGAGCGGGCACCAGTAAATCTTCCATTTTTTCCTGTCGCGTGCAAGAGTAGCCCAGTGGGTTCTGCTCGCTCTAGGGACTCGTCGAACATCATATCTTTCTTCCAAATTTTTCGTGAAGAACTTTGACCATCGGGTCGGTGGTCTTCCTGCAGTACGTTTGACATCCCGAGGAATTCAGTCACTAATTGCTTTTGTCCACCGGCTGTATTCATACGCATTACGTGCCCGACCCACCTTATCTTCGACTGTTTGGCGTACAGAACGGCATCTTTAATTTTTGATCGTTGACGCAGATCGGAGCTTCGGATCCCATCCCTTACTTGTGTGGGACGAGATACTCCTAGCATCGTCCTTTCGACAGCACGTTCCATAACGGTGAGTAACTTTTCATCCTGCTTACGCAACGACCAGGTTTTTGGTGCATACGTTAGGGCAGGAAGCACCGTTGAGTCGAAAAGGCGGGCACGAAGTTGGGTGTTCTTTTGTTGGGTGAGTCGGTCTTTTGCACTCTCGCGATACTTCATTGTGTGTTGTTATCGTGTGGATGTGGTTCATCGCCCTAAATCCTTTTCGAAACCCTACTTGCTCACATAGCTGCCCTTCATCCAGTGTTCTGTCAGTAACGTTCTTGATGATTTGAGTGAAGAGTTTGTAGACGACAGGCACCAGGCAGATTGGGCGATAGTTGCCGATATAGTGGAGGTCACCCTTCTTGAACACTGGCACGGTCTTGCTTGTCTTCCATTCAGTAGAGACGTTGTATTCAGAAAAGTAACATGTGAAGAGCCGAGCCAATGTGTTCATGAAGACTGGCGGAAGGTTCTTCAGATGTTCAGATCTTGTCCTGTCCGGACCTGGAGCTGTTCGTTTTTTCACCGACAAAATGACATGTCGGATTTCGAGAGGGAGAACCGGTGGCACAACATATCCATCCTCCTTTATTTCATATGACGGAAGGTGGACGTGGCTATCGACGAGATCCGAGTAGTATTCGTGAATGGTTTCCTCCATTACCTTTCTGGAGGTTGTAACTGTCCCGTCTAGGCGATGGAGTGCAATCATCTTGATCTTGTAATTGGCGAAGTTTCGATGGGCTTTGCGAATGCTTCCCTCAGCCTCTGCAGCTTCGGCTATTACTGCTGCTCTTCTCTCTCTAAGATCTTCTTTTATCGCCTGTCTGCATTGTTTTGCAAGCTCGGACGTTAGTTCGCGGTTGCCTGCAGCTCGTCCGATTCCACGCTGACGTATCAGCTCGAGTGTTTCTGGAGACAAACGTCTCTTGGTGACTTTCGAACTATCAGCTTACATAGCGCTAACGTGAAAATGTTGAATGAGCCGATCGTACTCCTCGTCGATGTTGTCGACAACGGCATCTTCCCAGCAGCCGACTAATGAATTGAATAAGTTCCAGTTTGTGGTGGTTCTAGAACTTCGGTTCTTGAATTTAGCGGCTTTTTCTCCTTTCCGCAAGAAATAGAATCTTGCACGAAGGAGACGGTGGTCTGATCACGTGTAGAACTTTGGGACAACAGCGACATCGTTTAGGCAAAGCCTATTTACTTACTACTTCTCCAGTTTTCAAAAAACTGGAAAACCGAGTTTGAATTTTTTTTATATTTCTCAACCCAAGAGCAATCACTGCAAGCAACAGTGCTAGAAAGATGAAGCTTCTTGCGTTGATCAATCCGTGAGGAAACAGCCATGTTTTTGGCTTCACTAAGCATCGTTATAAGTAAGTGAATGCTCTTCGAGAGCGTATGTGTCATATGTTATTCATTTCAAATATGGCTTGTCATGTATCCAATGCACTTCCTCGATGTTATAACTTTTATCCACTGCCCATCATTTCTCCAGCTGCTGAGTGTTTTGCAATACTTGAATCGCAGGCCAGATCGAACTTACGATTACCATTTCCTGGGGCTCACGTGCTATGATCGACTGAGACCGTCGTTCCGTCCTGTTACTGTCTTAGCCAGTCCTTTCAATTTTGAAGATATCTCGGAATCATTGTGGCTGTATATCCCTAGTTTTTTTGTGAAGTGATCGATTTGATTTAAACCAAAGAATTAGTACAATAACAGGAATAAAACTTGTAAATGAACCTGAGAGTTTTAAGACCTTGAGTGAGTACAGCTCTATTGACATGCGGTGGAACTTCAGGCCATCGGACAAACTGTGCCTCGTATCTAAAAGATGAACGAATGCGCCGCCACATAGTAGTGAGGTCATTAATCTAATATTAACACCTGTACCTCTTGATAACGTCATCAGGTAGAGCTTTCGGCACCAGCGCATTTAAAATTAACCACGAAGACACATTTATTGTATTTATTAACATCTGCTGAAATACTCTACACCTATGTCAAGGGTATTAGAGACTACATAACAATATAAAGGAGGAACAGTGTGAGAGAAGAGTACCCTTTAAACTATTATAAACCGAATACCCATCGCTAAAAAGAGACGTACCCATTTACAATGTGGACAGCATATAACAAAATTAGCTATAGCGCTATAGGACAGTGCTAGAAAGCCCTACTGATATGAGCGGATTATTATAACTATGATTTTTCACGAGCGCTTAAAGAGTGATCTCTATAGACTTAAAACAAAACAAAAACATAGAAACAATTCTTAGTAACGACTCTGCTCCTTCTTTCTTATTAAGTTTGGCATTTACAGCACCGTCTATGGAGATCCAGCAACGAGTTGCTACCTCATAGCTGGTGAGAGGTAGGGTTCTTGTGTGTCGGACTGCCATATGCAGTTTACCTTCTCAGCAGCGTCCGCAAGCCGAGTTTGAAATTTCTACCTGGATACCCAGTTGAGATAAACCAGTGCCGAAAATAACAGTTATTCTCATAAAAACAGCCACCGACCGGCAAGTAGTGACTATCTGGGAAACCTCTAGCATAGCATTCAAGACCATTTAGAAAGGAAATCTTGCCGAACCAGCAAACTACCACTACAATAGAAATAGTGCTGAGACTCGCACGATTCTCTACCCCTTTGATCCATTAAGACGGTTACTAAAGCTTGAGTGGATAACTACAAAGGTACTAAACAATATTATTAGGAACGCACATTTATATCATCCTGACGTTGTGTCCAACGGTCGTCATTTGTGGTATAAGTATTGGAAAGCTTCCAAAAAGACTGTAATTTGCTCATAAGGATTGAAACCAGTGATGACACGAAAAGTTGCCTCTCGTTTGTTTCCAACACTTAAATGTGTAACAATATTAATCAAATTTTAGCCAAAGAGAGTAGAAAGACGGGTAGAAAACTCACGCATAAATTTGTTGTCCTCGGAAATTTCTTCTGCGTCCGCAGCTATAAATTTATAAAAGTGGTACATTTTTCATTCACGAAAATACACAACTACAAAATAATTTCATAGTTAACCTTTTTTGAAATGATCCTGCTGCAGCTTCCACAAAATGTCCTCAAGCCAACAATGGTACGCAGTAATGCATTCCCATGTCGGATCAGAACCAGGCTCCAGAATCTGCAAAGAAACACATTCTGCACTGAACATGGTGAACAACTCTCATTCAAAAACACATACAGATGATCCGCAGAAACACAATCTACTACATCGCAAGCTTCTCCTTTTATCTAATAATTCTTCCGAAAACTCCATCGATGTATTAAAGTTAGTGTAAAAATGTGGAAATTTCGTTACATGTCAACAACACTAATATAGAAACTGCACTTCGATAATTTGAAAATCTTAAAACCACCGAAAATTCCTAAAGTTGAACAGACCTTAAGATACTTAATGAGCTTGCTCTGCTCCTCAAAAGAAGCTGACGTATCTATGAGCTTTAATTTCATCTCTTCTTTAAATCGCTCCATTTTCTCATCAAGATGGACCATTACTGAACGAACAGAACATCACTTCACATGATAATTTCTTCAATGAGGCATACAGTGGAAAACTAAGAGCTTTCGCGAATTGAGAAAACGGTATCTTCGACTACAAACTACAAACAGTTGTACAAACTTACATTCTTTAAACAACGAAACTTCAGTATCCTTGTATAAAGACTTTGCTCTCATATAGTCGTTTAGAATCGTAAGATATTCACCCTAATAATGTGAACTTGTTCTTAAATGCTTGAGAGATACTATTAAAAAAAGAACAAAGACCACACCCACTTTCTTCATGTTATCGTCAATAGTTTTGGAGAGGAAGAAGATAAACTTGAAGCGTGTGAGAACCGACAAAGCATTTCTTGTGGCGTCAGCCCGGTCTTTACGCGACAATACATCTTTGAATACGCTTTCAGCTTTCACACGTGCTTCCGAAATCTATAAGCGAATAACCCAACGATGACACATGTTTTCAAGAGTTTCTAGAGGAGTAGAGGCATTGAAGTATTATAGATAGCATTACGACACTACCTGAGATCCTATTTGTTTGATTACTGCAAACTCTCCTGCTTTATTGCTACGTTCTAGCTCGTCATGTAATGCAGCCAATGAATCCACACAACTGATTAAGGAGTAAAGGTTAGCCTAGAATATAGATGTATGACAAGCTACGATTCTTTGCCGCAATGAAACGGAAATCTTTTTATTATATAACGTACTACTAAGTCTTAGAAAAGCCAATCTCGTGAAGAAAGCTATAAGGAATAAGCGATAATTAAGCTAGACCCACCTTCGCATTTCAAATACAAACCTGTTTTTAATACTGCAAAAGTCTTACCTTATGCATCTGCTCGCTCTTCTTTGCCTCATCGGCCTTTGTTAGCTGCATGAATTTCAATGCCTCGCGAAGTTCTTCAATGCTATAAGAGCCTTAACTTAGACCTTGGCAAAGCTTAAGTCCTAGAAACATTTAATGGTGCTACCATTCTCAACCCGTCCACACTGTTCATCCTTTATATACATATCTCGTAAAGTGGAACTCCTTACGATGTTTCAGAGTGGTGCTCCAACAAATACCACTGGGGATTGAAACTCTCCATACGAATGTTTCCAGAGCCTTCGGGAAAAAACTTTGACAACAACGCTGCGTCCATTTTCTTTGATGTTGGCTTGAGCCCAAGTGCGTCTCTTTCCTCCGTCACTTGTGAAACCGTTCGTACTGCCTATGCAACATTCAGAAGTCACCAAATAAGAACATATCAGTGATATACTAGAGTTACAAGATGAATCATGTCATATTGCTTCTAGAATCCAACACATTGATTTGTTAATCGTGATACAGAGACATTACTCCAAACGGACCTCCTCCATAGCGTTAGTTGGAAATAAGAGATTTAGTTAACTACCTCACGACCAGGAACTGTTTGAGACTCGTCTACCCACACTGCGGACTCCTCTAATGGTCCAACTTGGGCAATAAAGACTCTGAAGATAAAATTCTGACAAAATGCAAACCTCAGAAGCATAAACAAAAGTTAAAGGTAAAATTAACCGAAATTTTACGTTACAAATGCCTCGGCCTCCTGATTTCGTTGCAATCTTAACCTCTCCCAAACCACGATTGGCTTGCCCTAGGCGTGCTACAATCTTCTTATCTGTTTTCCATCTGAAAACTAATGGAAAACGATCCGCAAGTAATGTAATCGAAATATTTAGAGCATTGAAACGAACTTAGCTGAGTGTAAGCAATCCGTGCCGCAAATGAAAAGCATGAGGATATCATTCTGATCGGTGCCTAGGTTTTCTCCTCTAATAGTAATTTGAGTGCCAGGAGTACCTAAAACATAATAAACTAAAAAGAAATGGCACTAAGCTAAAGATGTTCTATTTCACCGGAATTCTATACTCTACCTTCAGTTGGAGACAAGCCAGTAACTGTTGGTGGCCCCTTCGTCCTTGCGCCTGCGGGTACCACTCTGTCTTCATCGGGCATACCCGTCTGATTATCTCAATGCCTACAAACGCATAGCATAACGCAATAAAAGAATAAAGGATAAAGCTCTCGACGTTGATCAATCCCTGAGGTACGGGCCTTGCATTCAACTCATCAAGCATCGCTAGAGGTGATTGAATGCAGATCTACTCCTTACAATGACTCGCGATGGCCTGCCGATGTATCGAGCCAGTGCTGCTATCCTCTCAGACAGGTCTGGCACCAATTTACCGACCCCGAAGGGATGGAAGGATTAATGAGGCTGGTGCGCCGGATCGATCCCATGTGTCTTGCAGAGCCCCTTTAACCACTGCTCTACTACACAATACAATACACAGGAAAAATACCTTACCCATTATCATTGATTAGCTCATACAATGAAAAGAAAACTCTATAGAAGAGAAGTTGGAAACAAATAAATACAAGTTACTAGATGGAAACGTATTAAAACGTAAGCGAAACTCTTTTTTAAGACCAAGGCCTTTAGTAGTAAATGGAGTGCCTTAAGGAGAAGTTAGGATTTATACAAGAATTTAGGATTTTCAGAAATCCTGGGATTGTTTACTATTGGAGCGCGATAACTACACTGTCAATTTGACGATTTGATTGGTACCCGTTCATCGTTGAGAATAAATGCTATTAGTATCACATTAACGTAAAAGCCCTGTTTAAGATTGAATTCAAAAATCTCAAAGATAGAAGTACTTCTAATTTATCTTGTAGTTAGTAATTTCCTTCCAGCGGTTTACCGCCTCATCCTGGTTGGGAGGTCTTTCTGCGTGTGGGGCTACGATGTACAGCGGGGATAAATCACCAGTTTGAACGTATCACAAGAAGGAAAATTTAACGTTAATGGTTAATGGAGACCTTTTCATAATTGAAAAATACTGCAATCAGTTCGCATAACTGCTATAGAAATATAACTCTAAACTAGTAACCCACTTCCTTCTCTTCTATGAACTATTAAGAGCAATGTGGTGGCTAATGAGGACCAGCTACTGGACAGGATGGGTGATACCCTATACACTTAGCATATTCGCGAATAGAATAGGTTCTAAACAACTTATATGCGGCCGAAAAGAATCTAGTCCTCAACTTTCAGAAGGACGTATTTTAATTCTTTCTACTTCTGTTCAGCAAACACGAGGTGTTACTTAATTTCTTTATTTACATGCAAGCTGACGTTTCGGCGGATTTCGCCCTCCTCAGAACCTGGAAAGGTCAAGTTGACTACAACCTACAAGACCAAACACCTCCAAACACCAAACATCCGTGTGAACTCTGTGCGATTGGTCTTCACGTAACACATTTAGTGGAAGACTCATAGAAAGCGGTGAGTGTGCAAAGACTCTGTGTTCAATGTGATTGAAATTTTGGTTCAGGATTTTCTCTGTTTGGTTATGGAGGTGTTTGGCCGTAATTGTAGTCAGCTTGACCTTTCCAGGCTCTGAGGAAGACGAAATCCACCGAAACGTCAGTTTGCATGTAAATAAAGAAATAAAGTAACAACTCGTGTTTGCTGAACAGAAATTGAAAGAATTATTCAATCAATGCCGAGCTTAATAGAAAGTCAGACTTTGGAGTTACTACAGGACGTATTTTATTTCATAAAGGGTGAACAGATAAAGCGTTCAGGGTTAGTTAATCCCTTAGGGATGGGCCGTGCATTAGATCCGATTCATAGCGCTGTGAAACTGGCCAAACACACATTTGTATCACAGAATGACCTATGGTTTCCTACCATCGAGTCACTGCTTTTCTCCTTCCAAACAAGTATGCTACTAATTTCTGGATTCATCAGGAATGGAGTACTTGGTTTGGAAAGCATCCATCTGCAGCAGCGAAGCAATTGAATTAGGATAGTGATGCTACCAGCTGCCCAGCATAACTCACAAGTTTTATTTCACTTGTCATTCTCATTTTTTAATTTTCAATATTTAAAATGCAGTTTTATTATAAAATTCCTCAGAGCGACAGAACTAAGTTTCTAGGTTTTTCACTAAACATCAAATCATCAAGTTCGCTATCTCAAATGTACTGCTTAAGGAGGTTTATTTGTTATGTTTTGCACTGCCCTGCAATAAGTTCATCTCTATACTGCTTTTTCTCAGAGTTCCTTTTAGTATATTAACCAGTTTCTCTCACTACCAAAAAAAAGCATTTCTTAGAACCACGCGAGCTTCAACACGTTCTTCATTTTTCCTCTTCGCCACAGCCATTACCAGTGCTAGTGGACAGTTTCGTACTCGGTTGTGACACCAGTCATAGAATCTGAACGACATATGTGCGTCATTCTTGTCATTCTGAATACCAAAATGGATTTTGAGTCCAATAGGGACAACAGAAACCAAGCTTATTCATCTTCATTCCAACAAAATTGCAAGGCAGTTGAATTGCTAAGTCTTACAGGCACCGGCACAACATCACTTTGATTGGTAATTTGCTGGTTGAGCAGAATTTCCGTTCCCTTGAGGCTGGCAAGCCGTACTAAGGATTCTTCAGGGCGTCATCTCTTACCAGGAAGTGACTATATTGGTTCCAGAATGGTGATTGATTCTTGGCAGTGGTTTATTCGTAGCTATTCTTCTTGATGGCGTAGTTGAGCTCGTTCTCATTTTGGGATACCCTCATAGGGAATGGACATCGTGCTGTACATCGTTGTTCGACAGTCAGAAACAACATCCAACAACTGTGAGCTGGTAAACCTCCGTAATTTTTTTATAGACAAGCTCATAATTTCATCATTCACTTATGGAGACAGTTTCAAACCTCGAACTGCCATCGTTTCCCATTTGATGGTCACTATAGCTATCTTCTTTTGGCAATGGAAGCATTCGCATTCAGAACCTTCTTTTCGTATCAGGTCATTGATCTTTTGAGTATAGCCGATCCAGTAGTAAACGAGAGGTTTTAAAAAAGAAGTAAAAACGGAGATTAATGGAAAAGTAGTATTTCTATGATGACGCGTAGTACTTCTTCTAAAGAAGACGTTCAATTTCCCGGCTTCAACGCCAGTGACGTAAAAAATGATTTGGATTACTGTAGTAAACCGACTTTCACGTAATCTCGGCGTGAATAATCAATAAAATTCTTTAGATTGATTACAAATACTACTCATCGCAAAGAAAGTCGAGCACTAGTAGATAGTTTTATTAATAGTAATCTGCATTATCAGCACATGACGTGCATTGATTTCCATGCATTTGGTGCAGAAATAATGACTTCCATTTTTAAATAGACATATCTCGGTTCTAACTTCGTTACCTGAAAGAAAGACATTAGAATCTTCAAATTTTCTCCTGTGAGGAAAAGGTTTTCCTCCTCAGAAAACTTGTTATTACTGTAATATTTAGGTAGCGAGTCTTCTTAGAGGAATCTCTCGATAGGAATCGATTGATCGCTTCTGTTCTACTGAACACTGAAAATGTTCTGATTGGTTCAGCTCGGACCGACTACTCTGGATGACTAGCCGGCTTGATTATGCGCCTTGTGCCACCGCCCTTTTCGTAAAGCTTATTTCGCTTTGCTCGTCCTCTCGTAGCCAACCACTAAACGGCAATTTATGGGAGCCGATCAGAGAAGGCCGATTCGAAGGTGATTTGTGAAGGTAAGGCCACCTTGTCGATTTCTAAGTCAGCAAAGTTTCGACTAAATCTGAAATCACCACATAGATCACTACCTACTACACAATGAGCGCTTCTGTTCTTGTGTTGTTGTATTAACGTATTATTCAGTCCTGAGTTCTGCTTTCTATAGTAGAAAATAGTTTGCCTATATCCAAGGAATTTGCTGGAAGAAAGTGCATCTTCTTTGGTCTTTTTAAATACCATTCAGTATCGTCACATGTCAGGATGATGTCATCTGTCATGTCATCTCTGCTGTTTACGCTCATTTCCTTCAATACTGTCACTGACTACAAGATTGGTGAGTTTTTGTAGAAGTCTTCTCTTGCACTTACCATAAAGGGGTTCTGAATCCCTTTTTCTCTAGGATTCATCTGTGGAATCCTTTCTTCCACTGATGTCCAATTTGCTCTCAGTAATTACTTTTGACTAAGAACTACGAAAAAGAAATGGAGAAGCAAACAGAGAATGTCAAAGCGACAAAAAAGTTTTCCAGTCCGTTTCAACATCCTCCCATCTGCCAGAAATTTCACGTAAAGAGGTTACGGAAATTGGTTGCCTATTAGCTTAGCCTTGACTTTATGCTGTTCATTCCAAATGTCTTCTTACGTGTGGAAATGCTCAAGTGTAAAGCAAAATCTTAACAAGTCGGTTTTACCGTTCTTTATTATTGCCTTGTTAAGCTGTAACACATACAAATAAAAGGTTTTCAAGATGCGATTTCAAGATTTACTTGTTTATTTATTTAGTATATAGCCCATGCTGTGAGGAAGCCAGCATTTCATCTACACGGAACTTCTTTCCATATTTGTCGCCCACGAACGTCTTCGTACTTGCGTATGGGTTCGGCTCCCGCTTGAAGCTTTCTGGTCTTACTTGTGAATTTCGTTAGATTTCAATGGAATTAGTTCTCACTGAAATCTTGAAATAGTTTTACTAGATCTTTTCCAGTTCCTAACGATAGGAAACCGCCGACTTTTGGATCGGAGAATGCTTAGTACGTACAAGCGTGCTACGACCTTCAACACCCTGGGGTGATAGGAGATCCAGTTGGCTCGGGTCATGGTTAATTTTATCGTCTGTTTCGAAGATGAATGAAATAAATCAGGACGAATTTCTTATTTGGCCAGTGCACTTAAAACTAACGGTATGTGACGAGAAATGCAGAGATTCTGGTTTATGCAGGAAGCAGGCAGTGAGTGAGTTGTTATGGGCCTCGAGCTGCCACACCAAATTCAATCACTGCGTCAGAGTACTCGAATTATCAACAGCATTCTTATTCAGTGATGTCTGATTACGTCCCGACACTTTATTTTTCTTAGGTCCTCTAGTTTTAAGAGGCCAAAAAAACTGGAGGGACTTGATTCTCTGGCAGTTCTACCGACTTCTTTGGTGCTCTCAGGTAATAATTGGAAACAACTCAGAACTACTCGTATTCACCAAATGCTGATTTTTTTTTTCTTATTATTAGATTCTGTCAGAATCCAAGGCTTTCCATGCCTCTTTAGACGAATTCAAGAGCGACCAAAAAAAAATGAATATGTTTAACGATCCGATGATCCTATCCGATGTTTAACGATGGAATGATGGAAGTTTTCGTTCCCACAGCGATTCGCCTTTCAGCATCTCATTTCATTTTTATTTCTTTGTTCGTTTTCCAACGGATATCTTAACCCTCTGTGCCGAATACTTTCTGAAATCTAAGTTTCTTACTACTAGCGAATCTCGGCTTGTCTTCAATGAAAGCTTTTTGAACTCTTCATATAAGGAATTTTTGTAGGTGCCGTACTTCGCGAAAGGGAAGACGCTCACATAGTTGCCACCATTCAGTATACGGTTGATTGGCTGAACCAAAGGGGTATCTACGGTGAAATAGAGTATCTCATAGATTATCTGGCTGATGTAGATCACTATGCTGCATTGAAAAAAGGTTGGTGACGTTTAAAACATCTTGTTGATGGGAAAATTTCGACAGTCGTGTGAATTTCACTAGTCGTCTGAGATCGTCTCCTATCATTCAAAATCCGAAAAAAATCTCACTCCTACCCTTGAAAGCCTCTGTACAATTTCATGTTTATTTTTTTTAAATAATGGAGCCATGAGGTCTGGAGTTTGGGTTCTGTAGAACAGACCGTGGACCAGTACCATGATTCAATTAATTGACATGTTTTATACTGCTTTGAACGGGCTTCATTACTCGACTGAGCTGGGTCAATGAATTAAATCATTAGGCGATGATTAATCTTTTAGGGATACCCCTACATCTGACTCCATTCAAGCCATAGTAGAAGTACATCAATAGATGTTTAGCTTATAGAATCAGTTGAGGCGTTACTGATGTATAAAGTGCTTTGTGCTTCAAAACAAGTCTGGTACCAATTTACCAACCCTGATATACTGGAATGTTTGATCTTTTAGCGGCGTATACGATCAAATCAGTGATCACGTGCATGTTGCAGTACACCTCTAACCATTTCGTTTCACAGACGCTTTTAGTTCAATACACTTTAGATCACACATTTAGAAAAAACTTGCCGCCGTGTTATACCATCCTCTCTGGTGAAGCACAAACGTTCACCTAATCGGTTATATCACAGGAACACACTATTTTCCTCCACATAACTGATCAACAAAGATAATTCTTCAATGATGCTGAGATATTTGCAAAATTCCAGACCGCAGGTATCTGCGGTGGGAAACGAACGTACTACTGTCCTTTTCGGGGAGTAACGCGTTCACCACCACACCACGTGGGTCCTTCGTTTCGCGTGTCTCTCAGCTAGTTCTACCGATCAGCGCCATCAGCAATCAAGCGGGATTGATCTGGGGAGCCCAAATCGGCAATGAACCCAGTTAAGTTGGGGCTTTAGTTATAATCACAATCTTAATCGTTTTGTGAAATATAACTTCAATGATGCTGTGATATTTGCAAAACTCCGGACCGCAGGTGTATGCGGTGTGGAACGAACACGCGCTGTTGTCCTTACCGGGGAGCACCGCACTTCACCACCACACCATCCGGGTCTTTAAACTTAACCGTTTTATTTACTGCCTACTGTATGTGTATATACCCTGCCATTAAAAAGAGTAGGCAGTAAATAAAACGGTTAAGATAATTCTATTTTTCACCAGCACAATAATGGCCATTTAATTTATTTTCAGTTCTCAGCGAGAAAAAAAACATCAGATCATAATAATCTTTGATAATCATGATTTTTTTTTTGACGAAATGCTTCAGCTGTATTTGTTAAGTTGGACGACATTTCTTTATCGCACGGTATAGAAAAGTCTCTAGTTGATCGATATTTTACTGAGGAAAAAGTCCCCTTTTCCGGATTCTTTGGGCGGCCTTTCTAGAGTGCTCACAGATTCTAACCATTGGCCGTCGCCATTCTACCACATTCAAAATGAAACGAAAACCTTGAAACAGTAACTGAAGCCACACGTAAAAGTTGCAAGATCTTCATGGATGGGAGGAAACGAATCGAATGTGAGAAGTGCTGGGATCCGCACGGTAGACGTGAGGACGCGTCATTTAAAATAAAAAAAATGCTAGTCGTCGCTTTGTCATGCAAATCCAAAATAGTACTCACAACTCAAATATCACCGTCTGAAAATTTTCAACATGAAGGGCTGCATGATAGTGCCAATGCGCCATACCATCACTTCTCTAAATGAGCAGTAGCTCAGTGTTTCGAAATTTCGAACCTGTGATCGGGTATTCTTATACAAACCAGCCATTTGTTTTGACTTCAAGCACAGTGTATTGTTTTGAATCTCAGGAAGATCAGAATCGCTGTTTGGCAAAATGTCGTTAGTGTCGGTTGCAATTTGAAAGACATCAGAAGAATGGTTAGAGGTGGTTTTCTGCTGTGTGACCAAGCTTTTTCCATCGGGATCTCAATTCCACGCAAAGTTTAACATTTTCCTAAGTCTCTAGGTGAAAACGTCGCATTTCTGATCACAAAAACTTTCCAGTTGAACCGCTAGCTATTTGACAGGTAGGAACACTCCAAGTCAAGGTGAGGCGATGGGCCGATGTATTAGAGCGTTTTACCTATTACAAACTTAATTTTTGGCAGTTTATTATGGCATATCCTTCTCTGAATTGTCAAACTTGGTGTAGTCCAGTGTATACCAAGAAATAAAAACATAAAAGGATAACGCTATGGGCGTTTGTCAACCCCTGAGTGAAGCGCCATGCATTCGACTTTTTTAAATATCGTTAGAAGTGATTGAATACATATCTGGCCTTTACTGAATGACTCGAGGTGGCCTACCGATGCATCAGGTCAGTGCTCCTATCCTCTCAGACAGGTTTGCTACTAGTTTACCGACTCCGCGTGAATGGAAGGTTTGGTGAGCCTGGGGCGCGGAATCGAACCCATGTGCATTGCAGGGTACCTCTGACCACTGCGCTCCACTCACCCGACACCAAACACTATTAGAAACCTTTTTACACGACATCACGTACGGCTTTCCCAAGTTCTTCTCTTATTACCCTTGTTGTTTTGGCATCCGTTACCGAAGCAGATCTTCGAATTTTGGCTACTTCTTAATAAGTTTGTCTTCTCCACGGATATCGCTGTACTGCTCTAGTATGCTTCGTTTAGAATTCTGGAATAGCTTTGCTACGGCGTTCACAAATCTTCTCTTCAGGGAATCGCCGCTATTTGCAGATTGGAGTATCTCCTTCCCAGACAAGTCTGGTGCCAATTTTCTAATTTAGGAAGGATACGATGTTTGGTCAACCCACTACGGGATTAAAGCAGAGGCCTTAGGTGTACGATTGAATGACATCTCTAATGACTGGGCTTTTCGCGCACATATAACAAATATTAACCTCAATTTACTGATACTGAGTAGTTTTTTGCAGCATGTTCGATGTTGGAACAAGAACGAGTCATCGCACTGATCGGAGGTTCTCATTCCTTACTCAATGCTCAGTTGGAGCGACTAACAGATCAGGTGGGTTGAACAAACTGAGTGAGAAACTAAGAAATTACAAAAATTAAAATATTTAACCTATACAATTCTGATTGTGTAAAATAGGTGTAACGAACCAAATTTAGCTCTTATTACCACTAGTTTAATGTAAATTGTTTTCTCTCGATCGTCTTTTAGCTTGATATCCCGCTGCTGACGGCAAGTGACGATGTGGAGCTGAGCGCAGGAAATACAAAGGTATTTTTCATTGTCTCACTTTACCGTTATTTTATGAAATTTTACACTTGACACTTCCTTGGCTCTCATTTTTTGCCATGCCACAATATTGGTGCGTGCTGCGCAGTAGTTAGAGGTCCATTGCAATATACACTTGGTCATCGGTTCGATCTCACAGTAGGACAAGGCTAGTCCACCATGCATCCGGAGTGGGCAACTTGGTACCAGAATTTTCTAGAACGATAATAGCATCTTAATTGATACATTGGTAAGATTGTGGAAGTCATCCTTTAGGCAAAATATTCGTGCAATCACTTTTGAGATGGTACGAATGCAGTCGAATGCATAGCACTGTCATAATAACTGACCGACGCCGTATGCTTCGTTTTCTGTGCGCTGTTATATCAGAATGGAACACTGAGTGGACAATAGAAATTTCCATTCGATTATGCATCTTCGAGCAACTTGACATCGGCAGAAAATCATAAATGTCGAAATATTCTGTTGGCCGTTGTCTGATTAACGAGATCGAACCAGTAGTGTGCCTTCAGATCACTTTTTTTCCTCGAGCCCAACTTCTGGAGGCAATCGTGGATCTGTTCCGATACTGGCGATGGAATCGCATCACATTAGTGTACGAGGAAGACCATCGTGAGTTTCCAAAAGCTGTTCAGACTTTCATGGGCCATTTTCTTCTTTTTTAAACCACTTGGGTAATGACAATCCAACGGTCATGTCATAGGGATCCGCCGATTTGAGCCATTGTTGACAGCCGATACGTTTTCACATATTCGATTCCAAGTGATTAAAGTGCAGCGTGGAGATTACATGACGGCTGCGAGAGAGGTAGAATGTAATTAGTTGCATTTCTTTAAAACGTTTGTTTTACAAAAACACAATGCACGAATCTGTTTTTTTGAAAACAGAGTATGACTTTCCAATCATAAAAGCTTTTTAAAACTTGAGAACAACAAAATTTGTAGAAGAGACGTTTCTCAATCGCCTTAAAAGTATAGTAGTTTTCATACAGTATTTTTTCTCCTTTTTTTTGCGCGACTTGTCTTCCACATCAACTTTGTGGATCCTAGCACTTCCCGCATTTGATTCGTTTCCTTACACCTATCATCCACGAAAGTCTTCTAACTCTTTACGTGTGGCTTTGTCTGCTGTTGAGGACTTTCTTATATCATGAATGCCGTTGAATATTGATCGAGTTAACTCTCTCTGAAGCGCCAAAGTATCCGGGCTGGCGCATTCCCATTCGGAATGCAGAGAGTAAACTTTTCACGGAAAAGTCCAGTTCCAATCTCACAACTACAGACGGATGAGAGACTTGGTGGACCAGGAACGAAATCGAAACAGCACTAATCTCGTGATGAGCTGCACCACTACCACTGTAATTCCCGCTCCAGACAATATTTTATTGACTCCAAATAGTTTCTAAGATTACTAGCATGACATGAGATCGGTATAGAAGACTTATCCAGCTAACTCCCCTTTCGCTTTCTTTGGTACTGGATTGATTCGAACCAGTTGTTCGTTGCCATTCGGCGTGGCGATGTTGGTGTTCGTTGTCGCATCCAGTCGAATCCAGTGAAGTTAAGCACTTCTCCAGTGAAGTATTCAACCATCCAATATGATCTACTTTTTTGGTGGAAATGCATCAGACGATAGTTGGTCATTAAAAGAAGATAAGATAAAGCGTTCGGTATTTATCAATCTCTGGGGGATGTTCCACTCATTCCTTATTTATGAAGTGTGGCTGGAGTTCCTTAGATGCACATCTGACCCATACAATGACTTGCATTGGCCAACCGATGTATCAAGCCAGTGCTGTTATACTCCCAGACAAGTTCGATATTAATTTTCCGACCTCAAAAGGATGGAAGGCTTGGGGAGCTTGGGATGAGGGATCGAATCAAGGCCATGGGTAAATTGCAGGGCACCTCTAACCGCCGTGCTACATGCGCCTCTTACACGCAGTCGATCGTATATTAAAATATTGGTCACTATGTCCTTGCTAGTGTTGCGGACTACTGCAGGATACATTGTCGTCGGAAAGGCATTTCATCTTTGATGGCAATAGATAAACAGCCGTTCGGCGTTGAAGGGCCTCGTCGAGTGAGGATACTCATTTGAACTGCACTGCACTCCATCGGATTCAGCCCGGTTCGACAACGAAAGTGGGGGCTGGCGACCGTCGACTCGGATCAATCGAGCTCTGAAGAAAACGAACACGTCGAAGCGTTAGCCTAATGAAACCTTTATACCACGTCAACGTCAAACTTGGGAGGTTAAATCGTTTATATACATAATATTTACGATGCAATGCAGTGGGGCTGGAAGCACATGTATAATATACAGTTGCGCAATATGGAGGCCGGTGTGACGCCATTAATGAGATGTACTCATAGCAGCACTGAGTCCCTATAACTTTAACTATACAGCACTATAGTCATAACAGCACTAGAGCATCTTATGCTGCTTATTGAGAGGAAGGTAAAGCGTAAGAGGCTAGATACAGATGATAGAGCGACTTAGCCGTAGGGTGAGGGAGTGCTGTGATGTATGTGTGACGGTGAGCAGAGAAGCGCTGGTACAAGAGGTTAGCTCATTAGAAGGCACATGTGAATTCGTGACACTACTGAATGGTAATCGATGTGACGATGAGGCAGGAGAATATCGTACACTTGTGACTAACTTACTGTGATGTGTGTCTGACTAATTGTGATTAACTTTACGTGGTGAGAGCTGCGATAAGTGGTTGTGACGTTAAGATTGGTTGTAATTACTGATATGAAGTAGTGTAGCCTAGATTACTGACTGAAGACCATTGTAAAGTACTGAAGTGATTCTTCGTATTTTTGTTGAGCAAACGCGTGGTGTTATTATTCTTTATTCACGAATAAGCTGACGTTTCGGGATTTCGCCTTCCTCAGAGCCGCTTTCTATGTGGTTTCCACTGAGTAATGTGCACATCGTGCTTCCATGTGATTTCTGTGCGGTTAGTCTCTACGTGACATACTTAGTGAAAACCTCATAGAAAGTGGCTCTGAGGAAGGCGAAATCCGCCGAAACGTCAGTTTATTCGTGAATAAAGAATAATAACACTGCTTTTGCTCAACAAAAATACGAAGAATTACTTGATCAATGCCGAGGTTAATAGAAAGTCGGTCGTGGGAGGTAGTGAAGTGAGTTACCAAAATGAGTGTAAAAACTGCAATGAAGTTGCAATTCTATGGAATAAATAATAGACGCACAAGTACATTGATGCGCAATAAGGAACCAAATAATTTAGAGGGGTGGTAGCGATCGTGACGAGTCGTTGGGAAGCGAATAGCAGTGCTAAGGAGCGTGACTAGAGTGAGTCTCATTGTCAAAGCATGGATCCTAGTCAAGGTCTAATGCAACGAGTCGTCCCTGGTCTCACGCCTGTTGGTGTGCCTGATGGCTACGAGATGCTTTGTCTAGTGGCGTGCCCGATGGCTAACATGGGATGTGGATGTAGGGCACACACGCCGGTGTTGTGGCAAATATTTTGTTGTACAATAGATTACACGCAGTTACGATAAATGGGTAGATAGAGAATTCTCTATTCGATAGAGAAGTTCTCTGTAAAAAATTAGGATTTTTGAGAAAATGAAACGATATTTAAATTTTTTACAATTTTGAATACAAACAAAACAACTACAAATATCGACGATAAGTTGGGAGCACAATGGTGCTCTGCTCGAGAAAATACCAGCTGTTCACTTGCTTCCGTGTTCGAAATACGAGCGCTGGCGCCGAAAAGTGAAAGAAGTACGTCTTGCGTCTCCAGAAAATCTCAGTTTCGTCTCCGTAGAGTGAAATATATCTTATGGTCTACCGTCTCATTGTGACTGTGGGATGCTCTGTTTTCGAAAAAAAATACACAATATGTGAAGGAAGGTCATACAAATTGAAATAAAACAAAGGTCTATCATACATAACAATTTGACTACAGGCATTATGGTTTGGAAGTAACGTGAAAACTCTAAACGCGTTCTATCAAACAAATCACCGTAGGTGAAAGAAGTGGGAGAATGCCGATTTCAAGCCAGGAAGGACTGCAGCGATTTCAATCGAGTGCTGCTTGATTTGAATCCCGAACACACTTACAATTTCCTACTAGCGGTTTGCTACATCACCTTGTCTTAAAATTATCACCTAGTTGAGTTCCTGCTTCAAAAAATGACATTTAGGCACTTAAAATGGGTCTCATCGATCTCAAACACTGGTTCCTCATGACAAATATGGTAAGTTTGAAGAAAATCTAACAAACTATTAAATGAAGACACTGCATGATCCTTATGCATAAAGATTGTCTCTCAATAAAACAGCATTCATGTTAATTCAGAAATACAGTCAGCTTTGAGACATATAAGCTTTTTTGACAGAGCAAGGAAATCATTACAATCTTGAAAATTTTTTTGTGAAGTATTTCATGTATAATGTAATATGCATATAATTTGGACCCACATGGTGTGGTGGTGAAAGCGTTAGCCCCGAAAAGAGTAATAGCGCGTTCGTTCCCCACCGCAGACACCTGTAGTGCGTAGTTTTTGCACATATCTCAGCATCATTCTGGTTATATGCTCATACATGTATAAATAAATATATCGGAAGTTGACTAATCCCATTGTTTTAACTTATTATTTACTGCCTACTCTTTTTTTAAAGGCGAGGGTATACATTGTGAAATATAACTTCAATGGTGCTGAGATATTTGCAAAACTCCGGACCGCAGGTGTATGCAGTGGGGAACAAACGCACTATTGTCCCATTGTATTCGTAACAAGGATATACTCCCCAGCAAAGGTGCATCTGCTCGAGGAATCGTGCAGAACGTTTCACTAAAGTCTGAGATTTTAGGAGCTTTCATCAATGGACATGGAGCTATTTCGTCATAATCATGCTCGATACGTATCCCCTTATCCAGTCGACGCGACTTTTCTACTTGAAAACGGGCACATTTTCAATTTTACTGAATTCCAACAATATGTTCGTCGAAAATGGAATTCTAAAACGAGGTTCAATAAGAACCTGAAAATGGTGAGTGCACAAAGAATACCACTGGATGTTATCGCCAGTGACAGATCCATGTACTTTGCGCTCAGAACAAAGTCATACTTATTAGTTGTACCAAATATACTGTAAAGCAGTTTACCAAATATAACAGTATGCCAGTCTTATATTTGGCCGTTATGGCGAAATGGTTAGAGCTGTCCAGCAATACACACATCGTCGCTGGTTCGATGATGCTGCAGGCAACCGTGATCCTCCACCTCACCGGGGTAGTTTTATTACTGCCGGTTCATTACCAGACTATTACCGAGCTCCCATTACGTATAAAATTTTCGATTGGTTAGACCAACAGATTTTATTTATTCAATGAGCAAGGACTATAGAAGACAACAATGACATTTAATATGTCCAAGGTGGGTTATTCTAAAGAGGTTAACGATCCTCTAATTAGTTTATATTACCAGTACTAGTGCGCGTGCGGCGCATTGCTCAGAGGCGCCCTGCAATGCACATGAAATCGATCCCTGCGCCCGTGGTTCACCAAGCCTTCCATCCTTACGGGGTCAGCAAATTGGTACCAGGCTTACCTGGGAGTATAATAGCACTGGCTCGATATATCAGTAGGCCACAGCGAATCATTATGAAAACCAAATATGCATTCAATCACGTGAAAACGATTTTGATGAAGTCGAATGCATGGCGTATCACTCAGGGTTGATCAACGCCGAAAGCTTTGTCCTTTCTCCCACCAGTACTACCTAGTACGTTCCTAATATTACAGTACTTAACATTTTTTTTGTTATTTTCAGTGGAATGGCCACCACTTACACAACGATGTAAATATTAGCAATTTTTAGTTTAAAGAAAGTCGGTTTTTGGGAGACGTTTTTAAACCTTAATGGTAAATACCGAGATGGTACTTTTTTATCTGTACAATCTTCTTTGTACGATTTCGCTGGATTTCAGATGGAAGCAGTTTTCACATTTGATGCGATATACACGTTCGCCAACATATTCTCAGAAGTATCATCAACGATGACGGTAGGTAGGGTGGAACCTCCGATCTAGATAGCTCACTATTCAACACGTTTCGATTTATTCTATTTATACATCTTTTGTACTCCTGCTGATCGTCGAGTGACTCGAACGGGCTTGCACGAAGGAGACGGTGGTCTGGTCCCGTGTAGAATTTTGGGACAACAGCGGCATCGGTTAGGCAAAACCTTCTGTTTACTATGATGTGGTCTATTTCGTTATGGTACTCTCCGCTGGGAGATTCCCACGTTCAGCGTTGAGGGTGGGGCTTCTGGAATTGCGAGTTACCATGGATGGTCTTGTTCGCTATGATAAACTCAGAAAGCCGCTCACCTTGTTCGTTCCATTCCAATTCGTGGGTCCCAATGTGGCGTTCTTCAGACGTTCTTCTTGGTACATTCTTAGCGTTGAAATCTCCAATGGTGACTTTGAAGAATGTATGGTCTCCTCTGTAAAATTTCTCCAACTCCATATAGAACGCTTCGACTTCTCCTTCGTCATAGTTTGATGTCGGCGCGCAAACGGCTAAGACTGTCAAGACCGGAATTGATCCACATCCTTTTAATCGTAAACGTCCAATTAGGGTTGTTCGTTGTTCGAATGAATCGATGTTCGTGGCCAAAACCGTGCTAACGAGAACGGCGACGGCGTTAACTCATCTATTGTTGCATGTTCCGAAAAACAGTTCCTCTCCTGTTTCATAAATGGCTTTGAATGGGCGATGTCCTCTCCTCTCAGCAAGTGTCACGACGTCTTACCTTGTCCTTCTTGCCCGCAACATCAAATCTTTTGTAGACTACTGACACGGAAGTGGGTGTGCACTATTGGTAGAGATCGTCACTTTAGTCCTTTGCGATTTAGGCAGCCTAGAATGGCCCTCAAATTTAAGCAGCGTGTCGGTGCTTGCCCTACCCAACGCTGCGGTCTCGGGTACCTTGTCGCAGTCATGTGAATGAGACCCGCTTATTTTAGTGTGTTTAGCGTTCGGTACCAATACATTGCTTGTTGAGCTTTGAACGTGGGGGCTGGGTGTACTCACAGGTAACTTGCTAAGGGAGGAGATTATTTGTTGGAGGCGCCTCCTAACCGCCTTCTATAATATTTTTTATTATCACATAATTGCAAGATTTTGACCGAATGGACTCGTAGAATACAATCCGTATAGAGGAAAACATACCCAAGCACGCATGTATCAATACGTCCTGGCAAGTACAAAAAGTATGTGCCCGGTGCAGCAGAAACGGGGAGTGCAACCCGTGAATCCAGCTGAGTCTCAGGGAAGTAGAGGTGGCTTTTGGTCAGTGATTTTGGGCCAACTGTGGACGCGCCGCGTTGCTTCGCCACTAATCGCCAGGAGATTGGTTTTGTCAATTAATGTTCGCCTAGTGGGCATTTCAAATTTTGATACCGTTTCTTCGTCTTTGTTTTAGAGCTTCTCAAATTGTTCGAACATCTCGTTATATGGATTCCTTCGTTCATCCTTCCTGAAGAAATCTTGTTACTATTCATTTTATTCGTTGAAACAGAATTCAATTGAATACAGTAACCACTACGATGTTTAATGAAGTGAAATGCTCGGAGTATACTTATACGCTTGATCAGCACCGATTTATCTTCGTACTTATACGAATATGATAGTGCCCTTGAATGAAATTAATCAGCGGTTTGAATCCTTTTGTAGCTGGACGATTTTCCTGCTACAAAGTGTCGTAAACCAACCCGAAATCCGACGAGATATCAGCATGGACGTAAGCTCATCGACAATATACTGAATAACGTAGGTGGCTGCTTACTATTATTTTTAAGCTGGCGTTCATTTTGGGTTTTCACAATGTGAACGTTTAGAATTTGCGTGGCCTTAGCGGTAATTTACGACGACTAAATGGACACACTTCGAGCAGCAACTATTCAATGAGGATTCAACTTATCGGCTATAACGGCAATGTTGAGGATGTATGTTTAGAAAATTCAACACAGTGCACGTTTTGTAAACCTTTTTCACTATGCACTGTGTATTTCACTAGCATAGATGTGTTTAAATTGTTATTTTACATAAAAGTCTGGGGAGGAATCTTCCATCTCTGTGAGTTATGTGAGATACTCGATCCCTGCTATGATGTGTGCCTACGTTCAGATGTTATAGAAGAATATTGAGAGAACTAGTGTGGAACAGATGACTTTTGCTGAGATAGTACTAGTTGATTTGTGGCCTCGTTGGTAAACCCGAAAGCTACCGAACCAGTTCTAAGTCTTCTATGCAGCTCCTTGTTTACCTCCTTAATTCGCATTAAAAATCAAGGAGCCGTGGTCCCTGCGAAATTTAGAGACGGATTCTCATCAAAATCAAAAAAATTTACTGTAGACTGCGTGTGGTGATGAATGGTTTCATCGAACTGTCCTCGCCTTTTTGGATTCGATTTTTTGTGATATATTAAAGCGGTAGTGGAATGGTTCTGTCGTGGCACTAGCAGTCGATCAAAGTTTAAACACTGGCGGAAGGTGCTCCCTAACCGAAACGCGTTAACGATATATCTTTCCTACTAAGGCAGTTGAACATTTCTTTGTAGTCTACAGTAGTTTAGAAAAAGATAAACATTTTTGACCCAAGTACGGCCTCCGAGTGGTTCAATGAGCAATAATCCTCTTCATCAGAATTAGAATTCGGTTTGTTGAACAACATAACCTTTTTACTAGATTCCAATACGTGCTTAGTGCAGACCTTATAGTTTCAATAACAGAAATTCGGGTCGTACAGAAATTTTTCATGTTGCTTTAAAAAGTTTTTCAAAAGTAGTTCTTGATTTTCATTCCTGTTGTAGCTAGTGATATTGTCAGGCTCCGAAAACGAAGAGCTCTCTTCGGCTTTAATTACAACCAAGATTTCAAAAGACGAGATCAGGCGTTCCCTCGATTGAGTGGAAATGTTGGTAGCGTTCGACTCAAATGCTGTGGAACTGGAACGGAAAAGTTTGAGTAAATATCTGTATTCATAGTGATTCCCTCTCATAGAAGACTGAATGTTGGGCCGTATAGAGATTTTTGAGGATTTCGAAAGAAATTCTTTAAATTGGTCGCTTTCTGACTCATCCAAAATGTTTTATTCTTGTACCCGTAAAAACAGGGGTGAACGCAGCGCCGTGGTTAGAAGTGCCTTGAAGTGCATGTGGCGGTTGGTTCAATACTGCGATTCACTGAGCCATCCATTTCTCTGAGATCGGCAAAATTACTACCAGCCTTTTTTGGAAGCACTGAGATGGTACATCGGTAAGTAACCGCAAGTCATTATGTAGACCATATGTACATTTAATCACCTCAAATGGTACCTAATGAAGTCGGAATTATAGCACATTTATCCCATCAACGCAAAACTATCCTTTATCCTTTGACAGTGAAAAAATGGTGAAGGGACATATTAGATCAGATCTTCCTGTCTTTCTCCTTTTAAATAGGTTAATTGTAGCGTTGGGTATGCAGTCCGTACTTCATAGATCTGTAAAAAAGGAAAACAAACATGAACAGTGACAGTGACCGTGACTGCTGGCCTTGTAATCAACTTTGAAATCCTTGGTGTTAATATCTCATTATCAAGGGAATTCAAGGCAGACATTCTTTTATAAGTAATTTTCTTCGTATTTTTGTTGAGCAAACGCGTTAACGTTTCTTCTTTTATAAGTGTTATCAAACTCGTAATAGAGAGTAATTTCTGAGGTGAAAAAGAAGGTGGTCGGGGAAAGTGCAATGCGTGGTCAAGGATCCCTTCAAGCAATTAAGTGAGATAAAAGCACCAACTCATTGTTTTAGTAAAACTCAAGAAATTAGAAGTAGTGAAAGCATTGCAGGAAAACTTAAGATTTCAGATATGAGCTTCGACGTCCTAACCATAATGTTGCCGAGATATTTGCAAAACTCCGGACCACTGGTGTCTGCGGTAGGGACCGAACACACTATTACCCTTTCCGGTGGCTAATGCGTTCACCACCACTCCATGCGGGTCCTTCGTTTCGCCTGTCTCTCAGTCGTGTTATTGACCTATAGACGCTATCAGCAATCACCTGTCAACAGTTGATCTGAAGAGCACAAATCGACATGAACCCAATTAAGCTGAAACTATGGTATAAATCACAATGTCGTTAATCATGGTGTGGTGGCAAACGCGTTAGCCCTCGGAGAGGGCAATAGCGTGTTCGGTCCCTACCGCAGACACCAGTGGTTTGGAACTTTGCAAATATCTCGGCAACATTATAGTTATATTTTGCGTAATACCCTGCCATTAAAAAATAGCAGGCAGTGAATAAAGGCTGACGACATTCGACGTCTTATTTCTACCTCGAAAAAAAAAGGGGCACTTGCTTCTAATGAAATTTTTTCATACTCTTAGATTGGTTTCTGGAAGCCGGCAACTGAAATTCACGTCAATATGAGTGGTGATTCACGTGTTCAACTACAGAAGAACGTCCAGGTTTCCGACGAGTTAAAACCACATTTTCGGGTGACCACAATCATGGTGAGCTCTGTTGTCTTCAGAGAGTCTTCAGGTTTTTCTCTAGACTTGAAGGATAATGGAGGACGATAAGGTGATGAAAGACGAAGAAGCGCTACTTATTTTCAGGAACGCCCATATGTTATGTTAAAGAAAAATTATAATGGGCATTATGCAAACTCGAAGTTTGAAGGATTTTGTATCGATCTTCTTGCGGAATTATCAGCAGATCTCGGTGGGTTTTCCAGAGGAAAGATTTCAAGGCATTGTCTATCCTTTGAGAAGTATTCCGCACTAGATTTTCATCTGTGCAATATCCGATTTTTAACACAAAACTTAAGGTGTTGTAAATCGGCTGGCTGTAAAGCTGCAGTATTATTCTTTTGGGTGTATTGTATAATTAGGTATTCTCAATAAATGCAGTGGAAAACAGTTATGTTATGAAAATAGCCATTTACTGTAATTTACACATTTGACCTGTTTTCTATGTTAAACCTGCTCCTTTTCATGTTTCACCTACTCAATCCATGCGGTAGCGGATGGAAAGTATGGTAACGATGTGTATGGTAATGGATCATGGGACGGCATGATTGGTGAAATACTTCGAGGGGTCAGTTATGCTTAATGGAGCAACCCTCCGCAGTACTGTCATCGTCCCACTTTTCTCATTAACTCTACTATACTGCTTGATCATATTCCAGTACAGGTGGTTGGATGAATGCTATCCTATATCATGAGTTTCGGGGGCTCACCTATGTATCAAGTCGATGTTTTGAAAAGGAGCGTGTGTAGCACATTAATTAAAATATCCCACAATGCCAACAGCAATGCCAACAGTGTCCTCGGTTAGAGCACGAGCACCTACATAACCAAATTTCCCGTCCTACATTTTTGGCAAACGAGTTCCACACTTCCGAGAGGATAATAACACTGACTTGATGCATCGGTTGCTTCGCAAGTCATTCTGTAGGCTAAATATGCAGTCAATCGCCTACGTGCTGCTACGATTGGAGTCAGATGGATGAACCATTTCTAAGGGTTTACCCAACATCGCATGCTTTATCCCTATCCTCTGTTATTCCAGTAACTGAACCCAGCTGTTCATTTTGACTTCTATTTTTTAGGAGGCCGAAATGGCGGTGGCACCGTTAACAGTTAATTTTCGGCGTTCGGAAGTGGTTTCATTCACGAAACCATTTCTATCGCTTGGAATCAGCATTTTATACAAGGTTTGTTGATGCTTTCAAGTAAGGTCTGGTTTTGCAACACCTGTAGGATTCCTGTAGGAACAAAACTGAAAGCTTTTTTCTAAATACTCGGGAACACTGACGAGCTTTATCTCTAGTTTGAAATAAACATTTTTTTCTCAGCTTGCTGGTGAAAGTGAATTTTTTATTTTGCACGATGACATTTCTACTTAATAAAAATCCTACTCTTAATAGTTTAAAACACGAGAAATAACTCACCCAGAAACTCGTGGGTAGAGGGAAGTCGAAGAAATTCTCCACAAGTTCATTTCTCAGTGATATTTTTGCCACCTAGTAATGACCTAAATCAATAATGAAATCGAAGTGTGGTAGAAGTTGCTTAGAGAATTAAGAGGTGATTGTTCTAAAAAGATGCTTGCAAGCAAGAAATAATGTAGTTTGTTGAAAGATTGATTAATTTTAATAGTTACGTCTCACTAATATTTACAGTGTCTTATAGGTTCCGGATGATTATCAACCCGACCTGTTCTCGTTCCTCAATCCGTTAAGCTGGGAAATTTGGATGGCCATCCTTGCCGCGATTGGTTAGTTCCTAAGCGTTTTCTACGGCATTAGTGTAATATTTCTTCACAATGTAATATGATAATAGGCGGTAAACTCAAGAAGTCGGTTTAAGATTCATAAGATCCTTAACTATAAAGTGCTTTTAAAAGGAAATTACTGGTTGGATACTTAACTTATTCTTAAAGCAATTTTATTCAGTGCTGTGTGATTTCCTAAAAAAATCCCAATCTTAATAGAGTATTCTTCTTGATAACATAGGAAATGTGATTAGCAAAAAAATTGCACTTAAAGCGCTGTGGCAAGAGGTGCTTTGAAATACTCACGTGCTTGTTGGTTCGGGCCCACATGCCGAGCTAACCAAGCTCTAACCATCACTCCCGAATCAACGTGTTGGTACGAGACTTTTCTAGTAGGATAAGAACGCCTGCTTATTGCATCGATAAGCCTTTGCAAATCGTTCTTAGGTCAAATATGATGCATTCAGTCACTTATACAATGATGCCATGAATGGAGTCGAATGCATGGCGCACCCTTTAGGGACTGACCAACACCCAACGCCTTATACTTTTAGCCATTTTAAGGAAAACAGGTTGTTTCCTTGTGATTTACACTGAGTGTTGTTACAGTTGGTGTGACTCTTGGAATGTTCACAGTTTCGCGTGTAACGCCCTACGAATGGAATTTGAACTTCTCGTGCTGCACGGCTCATCAGCCGCATCCTGGAGCGGCATTCGCTGATTCACCTGTAGAGCTGTCGAATAACTACAGTTTCTGGAACACATTGTGGCGAGTAACATTTTGGACCTCATAAAAGTCTATAAAGTCCTATTCGCTTACACTTTTCTAAAACTTAACAGCATGCGTTATTGAATATAGAGAGGATAATGTTAACTTTTTAATTTAATGTCTACTACAATTTTTAACAGCAAGGTATTATGTGAAATACAACCACAATCATACTAAATATTTGTAAAACTCCAGGCCACCAGGTGTCTGCGGTGGAGATCGAACACGCTATTACCCTTTCCAGGGCATAAAACATTCACCGCCACTCTATTCGGGTCCTTCGTTTCGCCTTCTCTCAGCTAGTTTTCTATCTATTAGTCCCATTAGCAATAATTCTTCAGCGGGGTTGGTGGAACTGGTAGATAGAGAACTAGCTGAGAGAAAGGCGAAACGAGTGACCTGCATGGTGTGGTGATGAACCCTTTAGTCCCTAGAAAGGGTAATAGCGTGTTCGAACCCGCCTTGGACACATTCAGTGTGGAATTTTGTAAATAGAGAGGATAAATAAAAACCTCTATCTAATTTGGAATCTTGTATGGGAAATGAAATAAAACGACGTGTACATCAGTTTCACTGGTCTAAGAGACACATGTAACAAACTTGTTCGTTGTCTTCCTTGGACTGGATGAATAGGAATTTTAAACCAAAGCAAATGGTCGTGAAGATCATTTGAATCCATCAAATAAATATCTGTCTACTCCAAATGGCGATTGTTTGACCTTAATTAATGCTACGTGAAGCATCAATGGGTGGGACGCATTAAATTTTTTTAAAATATGTTGTTTTAAGGTGTAACCTGACGAAATAAAATACTGTCCAATAGCTTTTAATGAAAGTTCTTCTGTCTGCTAAAGTTCGCTAAGTTCGCTTATTGAATGTGGTTAGTCGGGATTAGTTTGGAAAAAGATTAACTTCTGATTTAGTCTAGACAAAATTTTTCGGCGCCATCTCTCCTCTCTCGGCACTTCGCATAATACTAGATAGCTTTCTTAGGTACGTAACGAGCACAATGCTGAAAGGTGGATGCGATTTTGGTCCAAGAGCTGTGTCAACCAGACTATTGGGAGGTGAAGATTTTTTGACACAATTTCTCTAGGGATAATGTCTTGAAAGAGCCAAAAAACTATTTTTCTACATTTCGTTAAATTCTGGATGTAGATAATCCATAGGCCGGAGGACATTGAGCTTTTTTAGAACTGCAAAATGGGTAACTTTTCATGGAACTGTCAATTAATGTTTATTTGTTAGTCCGTATCACAAAAAAACTTTCATCTACTGCCCATTATTTTTTCACGGCAGGGCATTATTTGACATACAGCCACAATTATACTGAGATATTTGCAAAACTTAGACCCCATTTCAAATCGAACCCACGATTACCCTTTCCGGGGGCTCACATGCTACCCACTGCACCACTAAGGCACTCGTTCCGCCTTTCTCTCAGCCAATTTTTCACTCTAACGCTGCCAAGTGTCATTCTCATTGATGGGTTATTGCTGATGGCACAGTTAGGATAAAGGGCTGGCTAAGAGAAAGACAGAGTGAAAGCCTCATTTGTGTAGTGGGTAACACGTGAATCCCGAAAAGGGTAGTCATAGGTTTGATCTAGCCTGATAAGTTTTGCAAATCTCTCAGCATCACGTTGGTTATATTTGATGCCAACTCAGCATTGATTGTAAGGATCACAAAAATTATTAAACTAACAACCCATCATGGTCCCAAACCGTCAGATCTCTCAGGAATTTTGGATTTTATTTAGTTTTTCTGCTCAATATTTTGTGGGAAACCTGAGAAAGCTCGTGTAAAGGTCTAGCGAAAGGTGTCCTGCAATACATGCATGTTACTTGTTTCGATCCCCATTGGTACAAAACGTGTCTGGAAATTAAAAAGCTCCGACCGGATATATTAGCAGGCTCTTTCAAGTCACTGCATAGTCCAGATACGCATTCTATCATCTCCACTACGCACAGTGGAGTGGAATGCATGCTCGAATCCTTTCTTCTCCATGTGGATGCTGTGAAATGGCGTAGCTCTCTGTCTCACGCGACATTACCATAACCATAACATAATAAAATCCAGAACTGATGGAATACAACCTTCCTCTCCTGCTTAGGTCCAACGCTAGTTCTTCTTGTTTACCGAATTCCTGCATACACTCCATAAAGAGCTCTTCCAAGATATTCTAACATATTCCTTTACGGAAAAGCCTGTATATAAGTATGTCACGCTATTCTGGGTTTGCAATACTTGAACTAAAGATCAAAGGATTACTAACTATCTTACGAAAGTATTTTTCATCAAACATTGATTGTCTACATTTTATGGTTAAACAAAGGTGTTCAGATACAGGATATTTTAGGTACATGGTGGGTATTTACGTTAGTGATTATCAGTGCCTACACTGCGAATCTCGCTGCGGTGCTTACCGTATCTCGACCGTTCATACCAATCAAGAACATCGACGATCTAGCCAATCAGAGTGCTATCTCATACGGTACAATAAAAGGAGGCAGTACTATGCAGTTTTTCCAGGTACGCTTAATGTTGAGCTGTTAAGAAGGTAGAATTATCGCTTTTTGGCGAATTTTTTAAAGAAAAAAGTGGTCTGTTTGGACAAATTTTCGCTGATAGGCAACATGTGAGACTTGGATCCAAGATTTCTAAAATATAACTTATTCAGGAATCGAAGATCAGTTCACATATGAAGATGTGGGAATACATGAAGAATCGTGATGTGTTTGTCCACGACAACAGAGAAGGCGTTGAAATGGCGATGAAGTACTAATCTACTACAACGTTGCTGAGATATTTGCAAAACTCTGGACCGCAGGTGTCTAGCTGAGAGACGTGCGAAACAAAGGACCCGCATGGTGTGGTGGTGAACGCGTTACTCCCCGGAAAGGACAATAGCGCGTTCGTTCCCCACCATAGACACCTGCGGTCCAGAGTTTTGCAAATATCTCAGCAACGTTGTGGTTGTATTTCGCTTACTTAGTAACCTGCCATGAAAATTATAGAAGGCAGAAAACAAAACGTTAAACATACTAATCTACTAGTTGATTTGGACTAGCAATCAATAAGCATTTAATCAACCTAGCAGCAATTGATTGCGAGGACACTCTTATCAATTCGTCAACAAGATTTTCTTCTATCTCTTTTTGTTGTTTAGACGAAATTTCGCCTATCTTATGGAGTCGACTTCACTCGAATTTGAAATCTCACAGAACTGTAACCTTACCCAAATCGGAGGAGTCTTAGGTTCTAAGGGTTACAGTATAGCACTGGATAAAAGTCAGTTTAATATATAATTTATCTCATTGTGAAGAAATGTATTATTCTGATATGATGCCCTGTTAACAAGTGAATTTTCTAGTAATATCTCATATATGATAGTATTTTCGGTGAACATTCCACCCTTCTTAACTTTCAGATTTTACTAGTTGATCTCGCTTAGCAAAAGGTTCAAAGATCATGAAAATTAGAATTTTTCTAGAATCAGATTGGACCGATCGAATATCACGTCAAATACTGCTGTACCAAAAACGAGGAATCATTGAAATGAAGAAAGAAAAGTGGTGGAGAAGCAAGTGAGTGATAAGATTCATGCCGAAATCACTTAAACAATTATGCAAACTGACAAGGGTAAAAAGAAAATCTACAAGTAGATATGAACGGGCAAGTGAGCCCAATTGGATCTTACTTTGCGTCGACTACCGTTTAACAAAAGGGCTTCGAATCAAAAACTTTAGCGATTTAACCAACTTCTTAAGGATTTCCTACGATTTCTTATCCATTCATGGGATCATAAAGGTTACTGAATTCATACTTGCCCTACACAATGACTTCTGGTAGCCCATCGATGTGTCAAGTCAGCGTTTAATTCTCCCAGATAAGTTTGATACCAACTTACCGAGCTCAATAAGGTGCAGGACTTGATTTTCCTTTGGGGGCATGGTATCCAACCAACAGCCAGATATGTACCAAAGGGCATTTCTAATCACTGCGTGCCCGGATGTATAGATATTTCCATGATTTGGTACGGAAAAAACTAGACACCTTTTTTAGAAAGTAGTTCTTAAGCATCTTCCTCTGTAAGCGTGTGCACATTGATCGTTTAGAGGAGCCGCCTGCACCGGAACAAGTTCGGCCGTCAAGCAGCAAAGGTTTTCACTAAGTCTACATAACGTAGCTGGTTTGTTCATCATCCTTGGCGCAGGGCTTCTATTTGGCATAGTAACAGTCGTCGTTGAGCTGATCATCAGATGCAGGCAGATTGCTAAGAAAGAAAATGTAAGCATGATCAAATCCTCGATTCAGAAAGGTTTTAGCTGTCCTAATGGCATTTTTGTAAGGCAAATTGCTGTCGTTTACAATTTAATAAGAAAAAAGAGAAACGTTCTGCGCCGGTTAACACCTTAGGAATGCACCATGCCTCCAACTCCGTTCTTGACGTACAAAGTGAATTGAGTGGTTTACAATGGATGCTTTGTTTTTTAAACTATCGCAGACGTTTGGTACGATTTTCTCGAACTCAAAGGCATCGAGGGCTTGGATTCGCTTGAGCAGAGACCGAGCAAAGAACCATTTGTTTATTGCAGAGCACCTTTAACCCGTGAGGAACACTCAATTCCTTATTATGTGAAAGTTGCAGACTTCATTTTGGACTGAATTTGTTAACGAGCTGCGCTATGCTGTCAATCTCAACAAAATCGCAGATCATCGCTCCCGAAGGAAAAGTGTTAAAAAGAATGATACTACTTGATCACATGCCATTCTACGGTATCCACTAGAAAAACCCAACGGGACTTTAACAGTACAGAGAGTAAGAACTTAACTAGTGAAGTAATTCCATTTACCAAGATGCTCTTCAAAATGCTAGTGATACGGATTTGTTTAGTTTTTTGTTTCCATGGTTCTATGTGAATTTGATGTATGTGACGTTTACCAATACGTGAATAAGAATAAAGCTCCCTTTCTGTTCTTGGTTTTTTATATGGTTCTTTCTCTATCTTAGAATATTTAGTGAGCACTTAGAACAAAGTGATAGCACCTTAATGCGAACACGTCCAATTTTATACAATTTACAAAGTAATATAGTCTTCGAGAAGAGCAATAGAACGAGACCTAAAAGACACCTGATCCAGGGGTCAAAGCCGCGGCAGCCAGACAGAGGGTCCCGTATCCTACCAACTGAACTAACAAGGCCAAGAATAATTGCTCCAGATTTCAGGAATATAATTTTTAAGGATCAGAAATGAGAAAAACATGAAATAAGAGCGCTATGACTAAAGGGATGGCACGTGGCATAGAGGACAATTGATACATGACAAATGATAGTGAAAAAATGGCTCGTGTACTTTTGAAAACCTAATTTAATCGTGGTTAAATTGGAAGGTTTTTATAAATTGAAAGAGTGTGCAAGTCTTAATGGATTTCAACACAGTTTTGCAATTTGGTTTATTCTTTCGTCGGGCATTACAAAGATTCAAACCGACATTCATTCATCCTCGGTATGAGTAGTCTGTTCTTACATATCTAATATCTAACTTGTAAAAAATCTGCTGTAAGCGAGGTAACGTAATGCTGCAGGGTCGTTCGGTGAAAAAGAAATTTCTTAACTGACAATCGGTCAATCAACAACCGACCTGTGTACAGAGGCATCTCGGAATGAGGTTACCTCACGCTCTGCTGAACAAGATCGAGACTCGATACGACTACAATGGAGCACAATCTGAGGATAAACCACTACGGACCATTAACTCGAGGAGTCATCAGCTCTGAAGAAGATAAACTTGACGAAATGTTAGCCGAATAAAAAATTTTTGCAACTCGTTCGTGTAGATTTATCAATAAAGAATGTGAATATTAACACATACGCAATCGCTGTTCGTTTCGCGGAAGCTAAAACACCCTGAACCCACAAAATGCTGGTTTTTTCCGGACAACAAGCCATGAATTTTTACAACTAGAAGTCTTGTAGTTCCATCATTACGAGCATGGTGCTAGATCGATTCCGCTCCGGGCTAACCAAATCTCTAATCCATCCGGGGTCGGAAAATTGGTACTGAACTTGTCTGGGAAAAAATCACTCTCTGCAATCCAAATGAGAACGCTCTAACCCGGCTATTTCAGGATTCCAAGGAGAATTGCTCGACCAGCATTCTAAGACGTTAAAAATGAAATGAAAATCCTCAAATATCAACCAAACGCCACACGTAAAATTGGAAGATCTTCGTGGACAATGATTGCGCGGAAACGAATCGAATGGGAGAAGTTCTGGAATCCGCACAGTAGACGTGAAGACGAATCGAATCAAATAAAAGAAAAAATAAGAAAAAGTCTAGAAGCACAAGTTTCTAAAGTATGCTTTGCTTTACTGCACTTCACCTGCGAAACACATTGCTTTCAGTATTTGGGAGGGTTCCGCTATTTGTGTTAAATGCATCTCCATATTTCTTCTAAACGTCCATTCCACACGATAGTAGTCAGCTATTGGTAGTATATTCCATATAATCCATAGTCATAACAATTTAAGATAAAAAAAAACGCTTAATTACTTCTTTCTACTTCTGTTCAGCAAACACGAGGTGTTACTTTATTTCTTTATTTACGTACAAGCTTACGTTTCGGCGGATTTCGCCCTCCTCAGAGCCTGCAAGGGTCACCTTGACTTTTACAGGCTCTGAGGAAGGCGAAATCCGCCGAAACGTAAGCTTGTACGTAAATAAAGAAATAAAGTAACACCTCGTGTTTGCTGAATAGAAGTAGAAAGAATTACCCAATCAATGACGAGGTTAATAGAAAGTCAGACTTGGGAGTTACTTAATTACTTGTCAAAAGTTGTATTTTGCATGGCTTACATAAGCGATGATGACTTTTTCAAATAACGCCTAATAATTTTCGATAAGCAGAGTGCTGATGATGATCATAACTTAATAATGTCGTAAAAGAGACTTTGCTCTATCATTGCAAATAGGACTAATAACTTCCATAACATGCGATTTTCATTTTACTTGTTACTTGATACTTAAATGGTCCGCCCTCACTGGTTGTGCGGGCCCCAGCATAATCTCCATTTTTCGGAGATTTGCTGGTTAAGCCATTGTGGTTCCCTGGAGTCCCGGGGTTAGCCTGGCCAAAGTCTGCCCCAGGTCTTCACCACTACAGGCAGTCGCAGCCCTTGTGGATCAGAGGGAGATTCACCACCATGCGACTTTGGTACCAGGACGGTGGTGGATCCTGGTATTGGTTTATATTAGCTAGGCTTTCTGATGGAAACGCCGGACTCTTTCTCAGCTTGGGAGACCCTACCAGGAGATGAATCCTCCGTTGTACATCGCAGTCCGACACCCGGTAACACCTCCCAGCCACGAGGTAAACGTTGGGAGGATTTTCATTTTAAGTCTATTTAAAGTTAAAACTACCATACAAATCCAATTGTTGTGATCGAACAAAAAAAGCGCACCTCATTGGCAAACATTTGTAATTACGGCGATCTTTATTTCAATTTATAAAACGCATTATGAGCTGAGATATGCTTGTTTGCAGGTGTAACTGTATGCAAACATGCATGGATTACAATCAAGTGTATTGATCAATAAATGCAAAAATTGGCAAAATCGATGAATCGATTAAGTTCTATACAATTTTCAACTAAGCAACTGATGTAACTGTCTTATCAATCCTGAGGAATACTGTAGGTGATCAGAAGGGCATGTCAAACCCCACTCGCACGGTTACCTTCTCCCTATACTTTCTTCTTCACTTTATTCTTTTCGTTTCTTTTCGCGCTTTCTCACCCACCTGTGTTATAACGAATCTTCTCGTTTATTGTTTCAGGTTACTTTTGACAGTCAAGTATCCAATACAGTGGCCTTGAGCCATCTCAGCCAACCACGACTTCAACTTAAGTCTCGATCAACTTCTCATCGATGGTGACTAAAGAAATTAGGATGTGAAGATTTGCTAAACTAAATCGAGAAATTTTCATGCCTTGTTTATCAGTATTTGATATTTGATATTTGAGAGTTGGTCGTAAATGAGACGAATAGATATGTTATTGAGAATGATGTGTCACGGGAAGCGACAAGTGTTAGCAAGATGAAAACATCGGTTTTTGGCGGAAAATGGCATTGTCCTACTACCACGTTCGAGAGGTTATTGGAATACGAGTTCTTTTTTTGTACCTTCCTATTATAGCCTCTGTTATAACGAAAAGGAGATTTGAAGCCATGTTGACGATTCTCCACTTTGTCGACAGAGAAACGTATTACCGATAGGGCAAGTTGTACAAACTACAAACCCAAGTTAAGAAAACTGTGAATGAGAGATATTTACAGTATGCTGGTATATACTGGTAACGCTACCTCCGTAGCTAGAGATGGGGAAGACTGTGTCCGGGGATGTTGGTTTCGAGGTGGACTGCGTGGATGGGCTGTGATGTGCTGTCGGTATGTGGTTTTGAAGCTCATGTTTGATTGGCTAGATGGAGGAAAGCATCTCTACAATCACAGTTAGAACATGTGCCTTCCTTTAGCTGAGGACTGACTAGCGGTACTCATCTTATCGATAGCCGCTGGAAAAACAGAAAAGGAATTCCTAAAGAAGTAAACCACTAAAAGCTGAAAAGTGAACTTTGGTATTAGAACAGAATCGCAGAGGCATAACGGTGTTGAAGTGAAAGGAAAATAAGGACATTACTACTCTGGCTACACTTCGTGACGCTACTCTTTACTCCAATTCATCGGAACGGGTAGTGACGAAAGGTTACAACCAGAGGAAGCTTTTGGTGGAAAGAAATTATGAGATGGTGGCCTAGGGCGCATTCATTAGAATAATAGCGATCGTTGCGTGCATTCCTCTCCTTCGTGGTTTAAACAGTTCTTTTTTTGCCCATTCTTTAGTAACATTCGACTCTTCTTCCGCTTAATCACTTAGATGTATCTGGTGAACAAATGAAGGGTTCTTAATGAATGCATGCCCAAAGTCAGGTCGAATAACTTCAAGCTCGAGTTCCATTTGTGCTATATTGGATGCAGGAGTATTTCGATACTGTGTCGGTGCTCAATTCCTTGAAGAAAATGACGGTTCAAACAAAAGCGGACCATGTGCGGATACTTCCAAGGCTATTAAAGAACTCTATGATTGGAAGCACGCTGAAGCACATACCAGAAAGGTTAGCACTAGATGCGGTCAATGTACACAACAATATTGTTTAGAATCTGAATCAGACCGATCTTGACTTTCTCAAAACGAGAAGGACCTCCACGATCCACTGCACTGTGGTTAATGAGAGCTCCATCTATCAGGTCAGACTCCTCTTCAGTATCTCCAATTTTCAAGACGATTTTGATCATTTTTAGGTTGACTGAAGAGTCACTAGAAGGGTCGATCAAGTGCTTAACGGCATTCACTGCCTTAGGAGCGAATAGCCACGAATGCTGTGAAACAACCTTGGAATTAGGAGATGTCGTAACCATTTTGACAAGAACTTAATCGTTTTCAAGAACAATACGAATGCTCTTACCGTCTATGATTCTTCCTGCCTCAATGGCACTACCTTGAAATCACTCAGAGATAGTGGTAGGACGAACTCTCTTCTGTAAAAGAGTTAGAGCTGCATTTAGAAGGACTCCAGCAATTACTATCACAATAGTTGCTGCATCACCTGCCTCAACATCCTGAGCTTTTGTAAGCTCAACAAGCACTTTTGCAGTAGGATGGACGAGGCTCATCTGATTTAAGGTGGTTGCACCGTCGTTCATAATCGCAACATGATCATTGTCTGATTGAATCACTTTATCCATTTCAAGTGAACCAAGAGAACAGCATCGGCCACCGCCTTCGCCGCTACGATGTTGCTCCTGCGAACACTCTCCGGCTTATCGTGGTCTTTGAAAGAAAACCTCCTTCACCAAAGTAGGAACCGTCAATGTTGCAGCCGATATCATTTTGATAGTGGGATTAAAGCACCTAAGGAAGAAGGCAATATTCGCTTGAGATGTTCAAGCAAATTAAGAAAGCGGTGTGCAATTTCTTAGAATGTTTCGAAAGGCGTCGCGCAATGTGTACCTCACCTACACTAAATTCAATGTGAGAATTATTTACCGCAGGCAAGAATGGCAAGTTTTATATAAAACTGTTGATTGCGTCTAGGGACTGAAAGTTATATGTGGAGATTGTAGCTCCTTTCAGGTAAGCATGAACGATTCTCTAAATCATCTCCGTAGATTTTGACTGTGGACAAGATTTACAAGTAATACCAACGTCGCATCAGCTCAACAAGAGCAGTTCGAACGAACATATAAATAAACCCTTATTAGTGCTGAGTTTATAGCACCATATATATATATATACATATATATACATATGTACATATATATATGTATATATATATATATAATATATATATATATATATGTATATACAGAGGTGCGTGTGACGCAGTGGTCGGAGCCGCCCTGCAACACGTACGTGGGGCCGATCCCCGCTCCCGTGGCTCACCAAGCCTTCCATCCCTCCGGGGTCGGCAAATTGGTACCAGACTTGTCTGGGAGGATAGCAGCACTGGCTCGATACATCGGTAGGCCACCGCAAGTCACTGTAAAGGCCAGATATACATTCAACCGCCTCCAGACGATGTTCAATGAAGTCGAATGCACGGCGCATCACTCAGAGATTGATAAACGCCGACAGCTTTATCCTCTATTATATATATATATATATATATATATATACATATATATATATACATATGTATGTATATATAAAATGTTGTGCGCCCACATAAATTGTAAATTGTAGGTTGCAGAATATTCATTTGTATGATCTTATAAAGTGATCTTTCTGAGCTGATGAGAGGTTGGCATAGGTTTTCGTTGTCGTTGTTGTTATTGTTGTCACTGCTGTTAGCATTGTTGGTCGACGGCTGACGTTTCGGCGATTTCGCCTTCCTCAGAGCGGCGCTGTTACGAGTGGCACCCATCGTACTGTTACTGAATCCCACTCGTAACATCGTGGCTCTGAGGAAGGCGAAATCACCGAAACGTCAGTCATCGGCCAATAAAACGAACAACAGCGACGACGAGCACCTACTCCGCATCAGCTCAAAAAGATCACTTTATAAGATCATATAAATAAATATACCAACTATTTATGCCGAGGCTCATAAAAAGTCGGTCTTTTGAACTATTAAGGTTGCAAAACAAGTGTAAGATAAAGTGTTGCAAACGTGGTTAATGACCATCTATTACAGAATGTTTTTTTTTAAACACTAATGCATGTGTAGTTTTAACTTCCAAATCCGCTTGTGCCTAAAAAGAGTACAAAAATAGACCAGGAGAAATAGTTCTCGCAAAATAGTTACACACTTGGAGATATGAACGTTCCACCTTCACGAGTACTGCGAGCAGCACCACACTCCGCATCTGCCCTTTTCCTTTGCGCTCGTCGTGTCGCGAATGTTGGGCATCTCTGTTGAGTCTCAGGTTAAGGTGACATGTACGACTATACTTTCTTTGTTTATGAAACATTCGAAGCCGTGAATACAGCTGTGAGAAGTGAGTAGCAAACAAATTCGCTAGTCTGTAACTGGTCGTCGTAGTCAACCTTTACATACTCTTGAGGTCCATCTCATTGTTCTTCTCGTCCGTCAATGATTGACTTTTCTTATCACATGGCCCACCAACCAGGTTTTAATTTTTGGAGCGTTTTTTTTTAGCCTCAGAGATGGAATACTTCTTGCCTGCACCATGTTCAACTGAAGGAAGGTGCGTTTTATCGCCATTTGATCTCTAACTTCTTTGGCCATAATGCAAGTCATGCTGTTCTTCTATGTGACTCATCCTTCATTTCATTTCCCATGTCGGACGTCCTAAACACATATAAAGTGCGGCCTCCCATTCGAATGACAAATTCCGAACCGTTCTCCGTAGCACCATAGGTCCTTGAAAAACTAGATTTTCGTCTGATTTACATGCAATTCTATGGTCTCCTCGATTTATTAAACCTCTTGAGCAGTGTCTGTGCTACACTGGTACTCCTCAAAAAATGACAATCACGTAGGATAAAATAAAGGGTTGGTAACCATTTGCCACAAATGCTGACATCATTAGCAGTGAACTGGGTAACTCCATTCGTGATGTAACGAACAGAATTCACGTTATGCTGATGCCCTATCATTATTTCTCATGTAGATGATAAGGGACGATTAAAACAGATAAATGACATCGCCAACAAACTTACATAACCAGAATTACGGTCCACGTTTAATAACCACAAGGTAGCCCACCATACTTCTGTTCTTTTGTAACTTGTTGAGCTTAGTTTAAAGTTCTTCATATGCTAAATAGCATGATCTCCACAAAGAGCTGATATAGCACCTCATAACACGAATCAGGTGGTAATGACAAAGATCCCTCGACTCAGCCTCCTTGGCAAGGATGACCTCCTTTACTGCTTCATGATCCCTTTCTTTTTGAGGTAGATTTTCGTATGGGTAGCGAGAAGTACATACAATCTGTTTCTTAGAGCTCGAAGTAGCTTTTCTAAAAAAGGTATTGCAGATCCATAGTTGTTGGATGGACAAAATTGGGATCGAGTGTTCCACGTCACCTACTCCACACTACGGTAATGGTAATCTCACATTTGCACACCAATGGAACCCGTTTTCCTGAGCCGCTTACACTTCTACATGTTCCAACTGCAAAGATTTTATGTTGAATAACTTGTTACTAACACTTTCCTCGAAGAATAAATTTGTGTAAACGTTTGGAAATTTGTAGCACAAGTTATCCCTAGTACAGTGGCTTCGGTAATCGCCAACATTCTCGAAGCATTCATAAAATAATGTTGTCATAGTCCTATAACAAATGTTAGCAAACAATACTGGTAATGAACCACCACTGGAGAGACAAAAAAAAAGAATACTACTGCAAACAAACAATTCATTAGAAACAAGAACATTTGAACACATCACTTGGTAGCCTTCTTCAGCTTTGCCAGCTCAATTCTGACTAATCGATTGCGCATTTGTTTGGCCTTCATCAATTTAAACCTCTCATAATCAGTCAGTTTAGCCCGCTGAAATTAAGAACAAGGATCAGTGAGGTTAAAGTAAATCAAAGAAATGAAATAAAAAACGGAATAATATATTACACAGGAAAAAGGGAACATATTATAACTGCAAAAATACAATACTAAATAAACGGTAGTTCAAGACTTGAGCACATAGAGGGCCGCCTTCACAGATCACTCGTATAAGTCCATCCGACTAGAGTGCTTGGCAACTGGCTCGTCCGCTACTGGCTATGCTGTTGTTCGTCCAACAACAGTTGCTACTAATACTTTACGCTCAGCTGGACTTCTTGATGGAGATGTTGAAATCCTCCTCAGCGGGGGAGAACCGCTTTGAACATCACAATTTGACACCTAGTAACACCCTTGGGGCATAATGAGGCGAACCACTGAAGCGAACCACCAACCATAAAATAATACTCACTTACTTGGATGCTTGGAAGGCCCGTCCTCACTAGTTGTGCGGGCTCCAGAAAGATCTCCATTTTTCAGAGTTTTGCTCGTTTGGCTATTGTGGTTTCTTGCAGTCCCAAAGTATAGACCAGAAAGAGATTCGCCACCATGCGACTAGTTTGATACCAGAACGATAGTGGATCCTGGTATTGGTTTACTCTTATCTGGGTGTCCTAATTGAAACGCCGGACTCCTCAGCTGGTGAGGACCTATCAGAGGAATGAATTCCCCGCGCTGTCCACCGCAGCCCGACTCCCAGGGACTCCTTCAAGCCACAATGATGCGGTATGCCGTTGAAGGAATAAAATAACTAACGGAACCAATGAAAATGTAAAAGCAGTTGCACCCACAATAGCTTTCTGCTTGATCTTTTTTGACCAAGTGGTTTTCTCGAACTGCTCACTAATTTTAGCTGCATCGAACGCTTCCTTCACGCCTTTAGTTCGTTGTCCAACACGCACTTTAACAACAAACTTAGTTAGGTGCAGATCTTTGAGGTTTCGTACGCATCGGACGACACCAGTGCTGGGTCCATCAATTAGGACCTAAAGAAAAATCTGCAGATTACGATAGTCAAAACATACAAACGCAATTACTGACCCTATTGCCATCGACGACATCGACGATGGTAGCGATTTTACCGGCATCTTTACCCTTAGCGATAAAAACGACGCGACCGATTTGAACAAAACGTTTGAAGATCATGATCTAAAAAGGGCACACCTCCAATTCTAATTGGCAGATATAAATCCGCCTTTCTTTGTCCATAAAATCACAACGGACACAGGTTAGACTACGAGCAAATTTTTCCATAGTAGCCTTAGCACGACAGAACAAGTTCTCGAATACAAGAGCTCTCGGGAACGAGATGTTAGTCCCGGAGGAAAACAAGTCGCTCCACTAACGCCAATTTTTAAAATTGTTCAATTTAGCGAATGGAGCATTTAGCATTTCATTAGCGAAAAAACTGTGCAAAACCGCAGACCCGGAAACCGAAACCTTAGAAAAGAAAACTGCTAGCGAATAAGCACGAAATAAAAAGACTCCCAGCAACTGAAAATCCTCTTAAGTTTTAGGCCATATGAGCTACAAAGTGTGCAAATCGTTGTACCGAAGGAAATTATCGTGTCGAGACCATGACAATGGTTGTGGCATTTCGAGCCCTTTAAAGAAGAAGTCACTAAAAACCACTGGACGCCGGTAGGGCTTGTCAGCTCTCGGTAGACTTTCTAACGAAGTGTATTTGCTGGATAATTGGTAACTCTTTGATCTGGATAAGCTCGTGATTATGTGCTGGAATAGAAGAAGACCTTTGAATCTCGTAGGACATCGGCTAATTCAGGTTAGCGTGCGAATGCCGGTGTTTGAAGTTCTTGTCTATAGCTTATTTCTTTGGTATAGGTATTCTTGAAAGCTGCAATGTAGAGTTACGTGTTTCCTCCTGGCTCAGAATTATCTATGAAGAATGGAACTGCGCTCCTTCGTGTTTTCTTTTTCGAATTTTTCGACGACCACTTTTTATCTGCTCCAGTAGTCCATGTTTTGTCTAAAGCTCCTTTTCTGTAATGACGTCATGCATTTTGTGCGTCTTTCGGTAAGTTTTGGATCTAATATGCGCAACGTTATGGCTTACATACTCTGCAGCTATGTCGGAGGTGGAAACACCTGCTCCCCCGGTTGTAGCAGAGAGCGACGAGAAGCTTGGGGATGCAGATCTCGTTGCAAAGATGGAGAACGTGAAGGTCGACGAAACAACTGAGTCCACACAGCGATCACTCGAAGCCGAAGATGACGCCTACAGTGATAACGTAATCTGTCCTGATAGGTTTCTGTTCTTTCACGAAGTGCATTGTTTATCGTATTCTTTTCTTTAGGCAAGAGAAAACGGTGAAGAAAGGTTCCACACACCGGAGGTGCCAAATGAAATACGGAATAACGGTAATTCCCATGCAATTCTTTGTTTGTTTTAAATAGGAGTTGTATCATTTCCATAATATGCTGGACTTAATAATTCGAACGACTGATTTTCGATTAACCTTTGCATTAATTAATTTATATAACCTTACCCACTGTTCTCCATCATAGAGCGATCTCATACAGTATAGTCACAATGCGACGTGGCGCGTTCCTAGGTGTTCGATAAGGAGTTAATAACGTACCAAAAACGACTATTTGCTTATCTGAAATGTAGGTGGATCCATAGGATGGATTCTCTGTTCCCGATTTGGCACATATCTCCTCTATTTACGTAAACGTTTTCACGCATGTGCGCATGGGTGTGTTCTCGTTTATGCGGTTTGTATTCTACGAGTTAGTTCGACCAAAAACCTGGAGTCAAGTGATTGGAAAGTGTATGGGAGGTGGTTAGGAGTCACTTCCAACGAATAAGCTCCACGTTAACTCGGGGAGAGTGGCCAGGTACACATGAGTGTATCCAGCGCCGACGTTCAGAGCTGAGCAAGCTATGCAGAGGCATCAAACTCCAAACAAAATGGGCGCCATTCTCCTCACCTCGAAAAAGCTCCTGAAACGGCAGCGTTGGATAGAACGAGTACGGACAATCTGCTAAAATCTCAGCCATTCTAAGCTGCCTAAATTTCGAAGACCTTAGGTGGATCTGTACTTACAATGCAAGCTCTTGCATCTGAGTTCTCGATGGGTTCGCTTGATCATGCAGGCAAGAATGATAGGGTACGATGTCATCGAACTGGCTGAGACGAGAAGGTGCCACCCATTCATCGTCGTCTGTTACACTGGAGAAGAACTGCTCATGAGGACAAACGATGGTAGAGGAGTCTGTGAGGTCGCCGTTCTCGTCAGCACGAGTTTGGCTGTGAAAGTCGCCTTATTCGAACAGCAAACAACCTTAATCAAGGCGTTTACGGTTGAAGAAATGTGGATCAGTACCGGCTTCGTCAATCTTCGCCATCTACGCAACGACATCAACCTATGACGAAAGCAAAGTCGAAGCGTTCTAGATGAACTTGAAAAAGATCTAAGAGAAGACTGGAAATTCTTTAAGATCATCACTGAAGATTTTAACGCTAAGATTAGACTTAGAAGAAAGTCTGAAGAACGTCACAATGGTTCGCGTGGATTATAATGGAGCGAGCAGGGTAAGGGGCTGTCTGAGCTTATAATGACGACCCTGACCATCCATAGTACTTCAGAATTCCAGAAACCCCCTCTTAATGCAGGACGTGGGTCTCTGAATGGACGGCACCATAACAAAGTAGATCACACCGCAATAAACCAAAGGTGCCTTACAGATTTCGCTGTTGTCCCAAAATTCTACACGGCATCAGACCATCATCTCCTTCATGCATGGGTCCTTTTCTCGCCGAAAGGAGAAAAAGTTGCCAAGTTCAAAAAACGATGTCCCAAAACCATCGTTAAACCATGGGGTTTATTAGATTATTAACAAATTCTTGAGAAGATACCGTTCTTGATATGATCGACAGGGAAGACGGGCAGATTATTCATCATTCTCACGGTAGTGCTATAAAAGATGAGTGTGAGGGTCACCAAGAGGCGTCTGTCTCCATAAAAACTCGAGTTGGTACGGCAACGTGGAATCGCAGGAGCCACGGGCCACTGAGGTCCGAACTTGCAAAGCTATGCAGAAGACGATAAAATAATATCTTAAAGTGAGAGAAGCAGCAGTTATGGCCTGTAGAAGCTGGGAAAAACCTTCGTAAACCCCGCCGAAAGCTCGGACGCCCGGACGGAAAAGTTAAAGCTTCAACAAAGGCAATGCAGGATGTGATTTACAGTTACTGCTTGGATCTCATCAGTAGCCACGTCCACTTTCTCCCACATAAAATAGATGAGGACGGATATGTCCCGAACGGAACGATTCCTCTCTTCTGAAGTACGTCATGCCATTTCGTCGGTGAAAAAACGAACACTTAGTCGAGACAGAATAAGGCCTGGGCACCTGAAGAACGTTTTTTCCTCATCAACACGCTTGCTCGGTTCTTCACACGGTACATGTTGGGCCGCGAGGTTCTCCTATTCACTAGAAGACCAGCAAGGTCGTGTTGTTTTTCGAAAAGGTGAACTCCACGGTGTCGGCAACTATTACCCAATCTGCTTGCTGTCTGTCATCTGTAAACTCCTCTCTCGAGTCATTCTAAATAGGATAGGATTGATGGAACACTGGGCGAAGGACAGCAATGTGAGCAGACAGGGTTTTGAAAAGGAAGATTAGAAAAAGGAAAGAAAGGAGTACGGTGGACCACATCCTCGAAAGGATGATGCTAGGAGTCTGCCGTGTCACGCAAAAAGAGGGGATCCGAAGCTCCCATCTGCTTCAATGATCAGAAATCATGGACGTCGTTCTCTATGCCAAACACTTGAAGATAAGGTCGCGAGACATATAGTGCGTATGAACGACAACCGGTTTACAATGTCCGTTAGCGACTAACTCAGTATGTCAAACATGCTACAGGAAGATCACCGTCGCAATGCTCAGAGTTCTTCACGGAAACCATAGAAGAAGGATGTGATGGTCGACGAGTCCTTAAAGCGAGCTGAGCCCACTGAGATACTCTTCCAGGTGGAGAAACGGAAGGTTTACTGGCGCCCGCTCGAGTTACCCTGTGATTAACGGAGTGAAGTGTGATGCAGGGCACAAGAGAGGTAATATAGTCTTGTGAGCTTTCCTTAAAGCTTACACGGAGTTGTTATCCCGTATCCTTGAGATTGAATGACCGAAGAATTCACATGAAATCTTGTGGGGATGTTCATCGCATGTGGACAACACACGGATGATCGTACTCTTTAAAATAAAACAATTTCAAAAATGGCTGATGGCGGCCTCGAAAATACGAGTTAATGATGTCATATTTGTCGAACATACATCAATGTCGTAACGTTGAAATTTTATAGAGTAGAAAAACTGTTTCTGAATTCCGTAAAATTATGATGAATGTTCGTGTTTTAGATGAGGCAAAGCTCGATGACGATGAAATAGAAGACAATCCTGCTTATATACCAAGAAAAGGTGTTTTTCAGCTTCTCTATTTTTTTCCTAAGCTTCCATCTTAAATTTTCAAGCAAAGTCTTCTGTTACTTTTTATAGGTTTTTTTATTCTTTGCCAAGTTGATTTCATCTCCGGAGTTTCTAGGCAGGTACTATATGCATGACTCCCGGGATGCTGAAGTGGAAGTGGAGGAGAAAAAAACAAGTCGAGCTGATGGCACATGGAAGCATGATAGGTAGGAGTACGAGAGATGTTCCGGATATAAGCCATTATCAATTTTGTAAATGGCTTCGTAATTTGAGTCCAATTTTCGTCGTTCTTTTTATGGCTGGAAATTCTTTTTGGATTCATCTCTGTTAAGATACAATGAGCGCTTTCAACGTCCTAAAACGAAGAAGCAAATAATGACACGCTATGGCTTCGACATTCGCGAAGGAGACAGTCAGGATGTTGAAGCAAATCAAAAACAGCGTTCAGAAGAGGTTTGTGATTTTGTCGGCATATTCTATAAAGAAACTCTTCTTATTTGACTGTAAGCGTTAGTACCCCTAAGCTTTTTTTCATTGTAGAGTTTTGTAATATCTAAACTAAGAACGCTAAAATATATCCTTCATCACGTACAAATTTCCGCATGACGAATTTTTCATGTTATTGCTTACACTCTGTTCTTCGAATGAAATAAAAAGGTATTTGTTCTGAAAGACAAGCTGCATTTTCATGTTTTTACAAACTATTAGTATTCCTTATTGTAATCATTGGTTCTCTGCCTTTCAAGGAACATTGATTTTTCCCTACGCATTTTCATTGCCGTTTATGATTTTATGCTTTATCTAGTAGTTATTTAGTGGTTTCTTTTCAAAAGCTGCATCTTGTAATCCACTTGGAACTGCTTTCCTTTTATAACACTATTTAGTCTAAAAAGGAGAGCGGTCATATTGAGGAGCCCACAAGATTTAAGAGACGGCCAAGAAGAGATCGTGAGTTTACTTCTATCTTAGAATTTCTTTCTTATATTATCTGTTGGCGATTTGGAATAAATTTGCATTGATATTCTTGAACAGTTGCTTAAGATTTACCTCTATACAGTGCGACAGAAGCAACGATCACGCTACGAGCGATCTTATGAGACAACGCCGAAACCAAGGTCTCAGAATGTAGATAAACCAGAAAGACAGGCGGAACATCAGCCATCTGCCGAAGAAAATAAGAGAGGTCGGAGCACCTCTTCAATTAACTCGAGTTTCTTCGAATTTCCATTGGACTTTTTTCTTTTAACTTTTTTTTTCATTGGTAAGCTGATGCGAGATTGATGAAAAACTTTATTCGGCCAACGTCTTGGCGCCTTCGCTTTCTTCAGAACCCAATTTAACCCGAGTCGATTGTCTACAGTTGTTTCTTATTCCGATGTGGGTCTTCATGATGACGTCGAATGGAGTCCAGTAGAGCACCGCCTGACTTAAGTAAACTCAATCGGCAGTGCTCTTTTATACAGGACGGTTACTGATCCTGATTGTCCGTTGGTAATCGTTTGTTTTTCCACAGACAATCCATCCTGTAGTAATCGGTACCATTTCAGCTAGCACTGAGCATACTACTATTTCAAAAATTGACTTTCCTTTAACCTCGGTATTACTACTCAACACGTACTTTTTCATTGGTATGCTAACACTATGTTGATAGGAAAGATTTTATTCGTTTAACGTTTCGGCGTCTTTGTCTTCTTCAGAGCTAGGTTGCTCCGAATGGGTTGTCCACAATTTCTTTTAAAATTTGACTTTGTGTACCGCTGTGGCTTCTGTTTCACGATGTACTATGCATTTGAAGAGTCATTAATTTGAGACACGGCAACAGTGAAATGAATCCATAGCGGTTATGTGGCAGTTGTGATATTGGAATGCAACCAATAGGCTAGCTTGCTAATTTCATGTATACTAACCCATGCACTCACATGGAACGTTCGCACACTTATAATATCACGTGTCGCATGCTTTTCAATGTTAATTACCGCAAAAGGTGCCAGAATAGGAGCTTTTTTGCTGAAATGTTTTCCATGTACTTTAACACCATTCCTTAACTCTTAGCTCTAGTGGAAAGTATGTGGAACGCTCAGTTCATAGTGCTGTCATAGAATATTAATGTTAACGAACATCGGTTTCAATGCGTACGTGACGAGATAACCGCGAAAAAATTTCGAAAGGTTGCGACCAATGTGTTTCTAAAATTTGTAACCTTAGACTCTTAGGTAAACAAGATCGACTTATCATCGTCATATTCTCTACAATAGAGGCCACGAATGACTTATGCGCGACTGAAAGTAATTCAGATTTTTAGTTCTAAAGACTCATTTCTCAATACGCAGTAAGCTTTATGAAATTAGGTAATAGTGTTCAATAGCGTCTGCAGGCTTTATGAAGAAGATACGGTTTTTTTATTCTATCATCTTCTATGACGCAGTGGTGGGAGGCGCCCTGCAACACACAAGTGGAATCGATCCTCGCGCCTATGGCCCACCAAGCCTTCTATCCCTCCGGGGTCGGCAAATTGGTACCAGACTTGTCTGGGAGGATAGTGTAGCATTGGCTCGATACATCGGTAGGCCACCGCAAGTCATTGTAAAGGCCAGGTATGCATTCAATCACTTTTAAACGATGCTTAATGAAGTCGAATGCATGGCGTATCCCTCAGGGATTGATTAACGCCAAGAGCTTTATCCTTTATCCTTTCTCATCGTGATATTTTGTTTCTTGAACTCTCTTTTTTCTAAAGCTTATATCTCAAGCATGTGTCAATGGCCTCGAATCCGCGGCTGAAGTTTGAGCTTTACCTGCCCGTTTTCTCGAAAAGGAATTGAATGTCATTCGTAATTTTTAATAATTGGTGTTTTAATCATTTGCTAAGGGAACGAGTTTGGTTTTTTGACAGATGGCGATAATTTTTTGATAACTGCAGTAGCTGATGATAATCTGCGGACAACTGCTGATAATTTCACGACAATTACAACATCTAATGAACTTGACAGGCCCACGGAGGGTGCTTTGAACTACAAACTGCCTCTCTAATGGTGTGCTGTTTTTCCTGAAATATCATTCTTTGGATTTGTTGGAAGTTCAAGCCTATGAAAAATTGGAAGTAGAGTTCAAATTTTTGAAATTTTTAACGAAAGTACAACAGGTATAAACCACCAATATATTGAAGAGCACCGTCATGCCCTGCTCGAAGAAATTCTGCTTATTTAATCACACCTGTTCTAAATAGAGGATTCGGTGAATATAAGCTGAAAGAAACATGTTTTACAAGCTTTCAAAAAAAATCGGAATTTTATCACTGTGGAAATAAAAAAGTTGTATCACTGACGAAGATTTGAAGAAGTGTCATCGAAAACGTATTCGTGGCGTGCTTCTCGTTTTACCTATTAAAGAAAACATGTTGTGTTATTGTTAAAGTCGCTGTGCAACTTTTTTTGTTGGAGTGCTCTTAGTGATCAGTTCCATTTGCTTGTATGTCTTTTTAATGCTCGATCTTATTTCGCAGTAGTTCACTATATAACCGTTCTTCAGGACAACCGAACACTCTTTCACTCATCAGAAGGCGTTGAATTCGGTGACAGACCTGTCTGTAATAAGATAATGACTGCTATGTCGAATAATTTGGGTTCTTGTTTCGTAGGATGTACAGCAACGGTTCTGTAAAAAAAATTACGATTTTTTAATCAAGCTTTTCAAGATTTCTGATATTTTCTAGAGCATCAAGTTGCCAATGAGGGTCGAGATGATGAGGACGACGACGATCTACATGTTGGACAACGCCGTCAGGTGCGCGCGGAGCACAGGCGTGAACGGCATGATCGCGTTGACATTCGCGTCGTTCGCAACGTGCGTGGTAGTCGTGGTGGTCTAGGTGGTCATCGAATGGACAGACATCAGCACCAGACTAAGTTTGTAGTTCCCTCTTTATTTATCTTCACTTTTGATGCGGCCTATTTAGGAGCATCACGCGTATCCGTGAGCGCGAACTAGAAATTTCTATTTAATTTTTTTAAACCGGTATAGGCTATGTCCCAAATCTTGTGAACTATGTGATTCTTTTCCATAAAGTGAGATCTGTTGACAATATGTGAACCAGTATCTCAACATTTTGTACCCTACATGAGTGGGTTTTCACTCATATGCAAGCGTAAATCGGCCGCCATGAGTTGAGATCAGCTCTTTCTTTGCGGCAATTTATATTTCGATACACAGCTTTTTTTTTCATTGGAGCGCTTTTATCTATTCACTCGGCGGGTTACCCAGCACAGAGCGATGTGGTGGGTTTCGTACCTGAATAAATATTCTGCGTTTAAAAAACAGCTGAATAATTTGCGGAAATGCGTTTTTTTTTCAAACAAGTTTATTTCATCGGCGAGGCAGTGTCAGTGCTAATGAGAGTATTCGCCAGAGACTTTTCATCGAAGGTGGTTCGTAGGTGTCCCTGTTGTAGTTAATCAATAAGTTCAACACTTAGGGACACCTCTTCGCTTTCTTAATGTGTGAAATCATTTGGGGAGATAATTCTTTCTACTTCTGTTCAGCAAACACAAGGTGCTATTTTATTTCTTTATTTACGTACAAGCTGACGTTTCGGCGGATTTCGTCTTCCTCAGAGCCTGGAAAGGTCAAGTTGACAGCAACCTGTTCAGCCAAACACCTCCATAACCAAACAGAGAAAAAACCTCCTTGTGGTTCATTTTCGGATTCTTGGAAATAATCCAGAATGCCTCTAGAGTTTTGCGCGCTTGTGTTCTCGATTCTTGAGCGAGGATCGTAACCCTTACTTCAAAATCTTCTCTGTTATGTTTCTGCGTGCTATGCGTACCTAGTGGAGTACTTGGCTTACGTTTGCCGACTAGGTGTTCTTTTATACGTACTCAGAGTGGTCTACCCGTTCCACCAACGTATTCGTCCCCGCACACTTTACAAGAGATCAGATAGACTCTAGCCGACCTCATGCAGTCACCGTCTCTACCATTGGGACAAATTATGCAATTCTGCGTTGCACATAGGCGGTCGTATAGGCGGTTAGGAACTAGCTGGCGTCTGAGATTATTCGGTGGTATTTCGATTGTCGTTACCGAATTCTCAAGACTGGCCCTTCTTAAACAGCGTTTTATAGCTGCACTTACTTCATTTGAAATGAAGGGCAGTATAAACGGGACCTTGTTGTCGCTAGAGTTATCGTTGGGGTACCTGTGGTTTCCTCTACACCTATCTCGAGCTACAGTTTCGTATCCATTAAAAACGGCTATTTGTCGCGCCAAGTTTAGGGACTCCTCTCTCTGCTGTGTTCCTGTGCATACGCTGGTAGCTGTTCGATACATGTTTCTCACAAGCGCTCTTTTCGTGTGAGATGGTGAGAGGAGAGGTAATGAACCAGGATGTTTTTACTACTTGGTTTTCGATACCACTTCGTAATGCAGCCGTTTTCTGACAGGCTAATTTGCACGTTCAAAAATGGAAGCCAGTTTTCATTTGAGGAGACTCGTTTGGATACAGCGTTGTTTAATACTTGGTCTCACCAAACTGTAGCGCATCGGTTAGTGATGCAGTCCATCAGGAAGCAAGGTTTTGATTCGACCTCCTCAACTCTCTCGTGCAGCACACGTGGGAATGCCTTCGCTCGACTATTTCTTAGATCGTAAGGAGAATTCGACGAGCGTTCTACACTGTTTATAAGGAAAAGATCTTCATTTATTGGCCTAAACGACACGTCAATATTCAAAGACTTGTGGGCGGGGAATATGAGGAAAATGAATGGGATGCAAAAAATGTTGGGATACGCGTTGTGGATGTGATAACCGGTCATATAAAAATGGAAAATATTCTCATAGCGTTCCACTGATGCCACCAACATCGTGCTCAAATAGATTTATTTTGGGGTCTCCATTTGTTACCGTTTCTACTGTTTACATATTATTTAAAGTTTCTGTGACATTGTTATCCAATGCAGTTTGCAATCTTTAAAGCTTATAGCTCCTACAGACTGTGAAAGTAAGGCCGTATTACCAGGATCATATAGAAAGGTAAACTAACGTGCTGCTTGGCATTCCGAGTTCACCTGTCACCTGTAGTCCCGATGATCGTCGAGTGACTCGAGCGTGCGCCAGTAAATCTTCCATTTTTCCCTGTCGCGTGAAAGAGTAGTCCAGTGCGTCCTGCTCGCTCTAGGGACTCGTTGAGCACCATACCTTTCTTCTATTTTTTTCGTGAAGAACTCGGCCCTTCCTGCAGTGCGTTTGACATTCCGAGAAGTCCAGTCACTAACGGCTCTTGCTCATTGGTCGTTGTTCATACGCTTTACGTGTCCAGCTCAACTTATCTGCTACTGTTTGGCGTACAGAGCGGCTTCTTCGGTTTTGATCATCGACGCAGATCAGGGCTTCATATGTGGGATCGATCCCCGCACACGTGGTCCACCAAGCCTTCCATCCGTCCGGGGTCGGCAAATTGGTACCAGACTTGTTTGGGGGGATAGCAGCACTGGCTCGATATATCGGCAGGCCACCGCTAGTCATAAAGGCCAGGTATGAATTCAATCACCTCCAAACGATATTTGATAAAGTCAAATGCATGGCATATCCCTCAGGGATTGATCAACGCTGGGAACTATATCCTTTATTTATTTACCGTGTTGAATACCTAATTTTTAGAAGTGGAAAATTCATGTTTTTTGTCGAAGCTCGTTTTTCAAACAAATGCATTTGAACAAGCGAGCAATTTGTCAAACAGGCGTTGTTGATAGAGGCGATTGTGGCATGGCGCGTTCATATGTTAAACTGAATAATTACCACATAGTTACAGTTTTTAGGTTTTGTTTGCAGATTGTATAACTTTTATCGCATGAAGTATGTTAATTCCTTACTTATCAAAAGTGAGAACATGAATTCGCTATGTATTCAGACACTTCCGAATCAGTTGTAGGACTTGTTTTAGGGAACGTTTTGGTAGAGATCGTTATCGTGATCAGAATGTTGATCGGGCACATTACCAAAAACAACAACACCTGGGTGAACAAAGGAACTATGAAAATCATCGTCGTGGTGCAATGAGAGGCACTGTTAGAGGAGGTTTGCATTTTTATATTTTTGCTGGTATTCTTATCATACTCTCAAGAATCGGTAATCGCCGTCACTAAATATTAATTTCTTATCACTGGATTCGACTTGCCATGTTTATGTCTTCGGCGTTGTTTTTTCTAAGATTATTCTCAACAGGTCATCGAACACGGATTCGTAGAAAGCTGGGACGAGACTCTGTTTTCTGTACTATTGACATGATTTCTCTCGAAAAATTTCGTTAGACCACCAGCATTTACATAAGTTTAGAAAATTACTGTCTGTTCTTTGCATCTCTGAATCACCCTCACCTTACGAGGACTACGTACTTGGAAAGCCACTGTATTCTTAACAAATACGTGCTTTGAACCTTAGCGCTACTGGGTTGTATCCGAAAATAGTGCCATTTATCTAACATGTTTGTAACAAAATTCATTAGTTCCATTGTGTCCATGACGAATAGCTTTCCTTTTCAGTTTTAAATAAACATCTAAAGTCATGTCAAAATCTATTGATTGGAGTGGAAATGGTTACGTTGTAAACATCTTCACTAGCAAAGTACAATGAAATGCGAACTTTCTATAATAGAAGGATCTTTTCTTTCGCTTTTTTCCTCCTTGCTTTGTATTGCAGACGACGAACCGATTAGGCAATCAGGATTCTATCAAGCTACATGCAGTGATGCCACCATTGCCACATATTTGAGATTAAAAATTTATTTAATTTTTTTTGAAATCTTGTGTTTACAAAAATTGATTTATAGATAAAACTTTAAGAAAGCTCCGCAGTATGCTTTGAGAGGGATGTCTCATCAAGTTCTTAAAATCCTCAACTAACCCAGATAATGGAAAATTGTCAGCAGTTATTGAAGGGTGTGTGCGGATGTGTGAACACTGTCATGACAGTTTTAACCCTTTTTATTTACTGCCTTTTTCTTCTTAATGGCAGGGTATGTTGCGAAATATAACTCGTATGAAATGCTGAGATATTTGCAAAACTCCGGACCGCACGTGTATGCAGTGGGGAACGAACACGCGCTGTTGTCGTTGCCGGGGAGCAGCGCACTTCACCACCACACCATCCGGGTCCTTCGTTTTGCCTGTCTCTCAGCTAGTTCTATTGACCTTTTGCCATCAGCAATCACCCGTTAACGGGATTGGTATATATATATATAAATAAATATATATATATACGGGTTATATATTCTGGTAGTTTTATTTTCAAGGACTCGGACATTCGGATAGAAAGATAAGGTACGACGTCATCGGCCTGGCCGAGACGAGACGATGGCAGAAAGATCAATAGAACTAGCTGAGAGACAGGCAAAATGAAGGACCCGGTTGGTGTGGTGGTGAAGTGCGCTGCTCCCCGGTAAGGACAACAGCGCGTGTTCGTTCCCCGCTGCATACACCTGCGGTCCGGAGTTTCGCAAATATCTCAGCATTTCATACTGTCATGACATACAGCTTTTTATTTATTCATCACTTTTTCTCGCGTAGGGGTACTATGTGAAGTGCAACGACAAGGTGCTCGGATATTTGCAAAATGTGGACCTCACTCCAGATTCGAAGCCACGATTACGCTTTCTGGCAGCTCACATATTCACATGGCACCCACTACACCACTGAGAACCTTGCTTTGCCTTTATGTCAGCCAGTATTTGATCCTAACGTTTCCATCAGCAATCATCTGTAAGTGGGAATAATCCGGGAGCACAAATCGGCATTGAACCCAATTAAGCTGAAGTTATAGTTGAAATCACAACGTATAACTTCTAATTTAGGGGGCAGATAGCACAGCGATCACGAGCGCTGCTCTGGTTCGATCCTGCTTCGGGCTTATCAATCCTGCCATCTCTTCGGAGTTTGAAAGTTGGCGCCCGTCTTGTCTGAAAAAATTGTTCTCTGCAATCCAATTGAGAAAACTCTAGCCCAGCTATATCAGGGCATCAGTGGTAATCGATTGGATCAGCATTCTATGACATTTAAGATGAAATGAAATTCCTTAAGGAGCAAGTCGAAGCCACACGTAAAAATTAGAAGACATTATTGGTTGATGGATGCGAGGAAACGAATTGAATTTGAGAAGTGCTGGGATCCGCACAGTAGTTATGAAGATGGGTCGTACAAAATAAGAATGTGTTTTAATTTACTTTCTATTTTTTTTTTTCGCGGCAGGGTGTTACGTGGAATGCAACCACAGTGATGCTGAGATATTTGCAAAACTTCGACACCAGTCCAGATTCAAACTCGCGATTACAGTTTTCGGCAGTTCACATGTTACGCACTGCACGATTGAGTCTTGCTTTGCCTTTTCCTCAGCCAGTTCTCACAGCCACGATTTATTTTTTAAGTGATTCAGCCCGAATGGGGTTACGAAATTCTTATCTAGCTGGCGAAGCTCCCAAAACAAGCCGAATAAAAATTTTATAACAACCTCGTGTAACCTGTACACTCTAAAAATATATTGTGTATTCATGGCAAGGATAAGTGAAAGTCAGTTTACAAAAGTATTACAATTGTATTATTCAAGCTGGAAACTCCTATGGATTGTCGCGAGGTCAACAGATGCGGACGTACTCAGCGTCCAGTCGACCGAATGACAGTCGCGATGAAGGATACCAGCGTGAGGATGTACCCCCGCAAAGGAATGCTGGCTACTCACCAAGAGGTAAGTTTTATCATTCAAAATCTTTGAAAATAATTAAAGATGTGTTTTGCCATTATATTTCAAAAATTCTTTTATACGTACAGCTTTAGACAGCGGGAACTATTACGATGCTCGAGGTGGATACGCACATCGCGGCAACTATTCCAGTCGTTCTCGTGGTGGAATTTCACAGTCACCCCGTCCCGTGTTTGATGTGGTATATCCTTCACGTGGTTTCACTGGCCCGAAGCGCTATTCAGAGCAACGAGGAGAAATTCTACCATCGCAGGCCCAAATGACGGTTCCCCCTCCAATTCCTCCACCACAGCATAATTTCAGCATCCCTCGTCAACCGACAGATGTTGTATATTTCGACCCAACTCAACAGGTATAGTGGATTATTTCCCGTTTAAAAAAGTCAGTTTAAGAACTATCAGAATTTGGGTCTCACTCCATGACGTTGTTATTCGCTTCTTTTTCTATTCATTAGCTTAATTCTATCGAGTCCTTGTGTCATAAAATTATCCTTATTCGTGAAAGTATCCTTGTTCTGTAATTCATACAAGATTTCAGAAGCGAAAAAAGGAAAACAAAAGATCCAATTAAAGCTGCTCAATGTTTGAGTAGAGCTATGGTAGTAATGCCGCTCATCATGAGCACGGTGCTGATTCGACCTCTCAGAGGCTCACCAACCCTCTCTCTCATCCCTGTGTGAAAAAAATTGGTACCAGACTTTTCTATGGAACAGTGCACTCATTGCAGTCTAAGAGGGAACGATGTAGCCCGGCTTGCGCAGGACCCTAAGTAGAATGGATCTACCAGCATCGAATGACATTCACAAAGAAGATAGCAATCCTCAAGCAGAAGCCGAAACCATACGCGGGAAGCACGAAAACCTTCATGGGTAATGGATGGAAACGAATCGAATGGAAGAACTGCTGAGATCCGCACAGTTAACATGAAGACATGTTTTGTGAATAAATAAAAAAACTAAAGTATTACCAAAAACAGAACTTCTAACAATGACGACAGTGTGAATATTCTGGACTTTTTTCCACTTTTTCGGCGTATTTTATCGTCACTAAAAAGACGAAAGAAATACCTCTTCAGTATAGAAAGGTTGTCAAAAATGCATTCTCATTAGTGAACTGTAGGTTCATTGTTGATAGAAATTTCACTCTTGATTTACCAATAGTGATTTTTATGTAAATATTGAGTGCATTTGTAAATCCGTTTACGTGCGGATGTAGTTCATTTGGGACGTCTAATTTTTATGGTGTAAAATTGCCTTCGCATTTGTTGGAAAAATCTACTTTGATTCCATTTCAGCCAAGTAGGCAGCCGCTGCCGCCACGTGAGAAGAAGATCATTGAGATAGTGCCACCATCGAGTTAAGTTGCTGCAACAATGCACAAGTAATCTCAGCGACGTTTTACGAGAGAAACGATTGTTGAGGATAATAGCCGACATACTCATTTATTTGGTATGTTTAGTACACGCCGCCACTTTACAAACTTGACAGTGGTTTCTCATTTGGTAGTAGAATATCGACTAATCCAGTGACAAATCTAGTGTATAAGCTGGTTTTTTTGTGCTTATAAATTATTTAATCGTTAAAACTTTTAGGCAGTAGTTCACACATTCATTCCTTGCGGTTTGAGACAAGCCTGGATATGTTGGTGAACTCGTCGTGTATATTGTATGCAATAGACATGTAGGCGTTGTTTCTATTTCCCTACTATTTATTGCTAACCGCAGTCACATTGTTTATTTGGAATTGTCACCTCACCTGTAGAAACAGTTCTTGTGTAAGCTAATGAGTTTTACATGAAGAGGAACTCACACACTTTTTCGCTATTTCTACTGCACATCTTTTCAGTAACTAAGTAGTTACCCTATGTAAATCACTCTAAGTATGAAGAGTACCATACCTCTTCTGGATTGTTGCACCATTTTTATATAGCCTTTCACTAAAGTTGCTGTCTGTTTTAACTTCTTGTTGTGTTATCAACTCCTAGGTCCTAGGTATATA